GGGGGCTCAATCAAGTGGCATGGGATATCTGGTATAAAGTGGGAGCAATTAGATTCCAGGATTGGCCAGCTGTTAAGGAAGGCTGCACCTCCAAATTATTTAGTCCTGCATATAGGATCGAATGATATGGTGACTGTCAAGGGTAAAGAACTTGTCAATGACATAAAACGTACTGTTCTTAGGTTAAGAGTATTACTTCCCCTCTGTACCATAGTCTGGTAAGACATATTAACTCGGTGTTTTTGGCATGGGGCAAAAAAAAATCAAGTTGAAATTTATAAGAAAAGAAAAATGACCAATAGTAGGATAAAAAAAGTCCTTATGCACGAAAATGGTCGATTGATCCGCCACCCCACAATTTCAATAAAAGAACTGTCGCTATTCAGGTTAGATGGGGTTCACTTATCTGCTGAAGGTAATAACATATTTCTCAATGACATTCAGGTTGGGTTAGAGACATTTTTATCAAACCCAATGTCTATGGTGTTTCCATTGTTAGTTTAGAGTAGCAAACTCCGGGGGGAGGGGGACGCTTTGTTGGGTGAGTCAGTTTAGACCGGCTCATATGGCGGGAACCTGGGCATGCAGACTCAAATGCGATAAATTAATGACATCAGTCCAGTTCTAGGTGAGGTCCCATCCATGCTTTACCATGAGGGGACGGGCATTTTTGTCCGCTCCGAAAAACCGGGAGGGGGGTGTTGAGGTCAACCCGTGCTACCTGGGTGGCGCTGATGTGCCATACATGTATTGGAGAATAAAGGCGGTCAGTTCTGAATCCTCAGGATCTTGCCAAAACATTGCTGTGGCCTCAAACATTTCCAACAGTTGAGAAAGCTTTAGGTTAGAATTTTAGTTTATATACATGTATGGAGGGCACCAGTAATAGCTAAATCATTGCTAATTTCAATAAATAATTTGATTGCAGTCATATTCTTTGTCTTGTTTTAAAACGCTGCACTTAACAGCTGCTTTTCCTTTTTAGATTCACTGGTGATGCTGGATTCCAAAACGTTCGAAATCCAAACTACTGTTTAAGGGAGGCGCATTAACCCCTTAAGATACAATTGGGACTGTTGAGATTTTCTAAACTTAACAACTGTTTTAAATTCATCGTCTTTGAGACTTTTTCACAAATATTAGAATGTCATCAGCAAATATATCTGGCGATGAATATATAGCATGACCCTGGTAAACATTGATGAGTTTCCGAATAACGTCTTACCTAACCAGGATTCGTCCACGTCCGTGGTGTAACTACACTTTCCGTTAGTTAATACACATGCTTTATGTGATGATAGACCATGCACATGCATGCATTATTATCCAACCAACAATGTACATGCAGCGCTCATCTAAACACCCCCTCCGTATTGCATATTGCATTGTGAACAAGCGAGCCATACCACTTTTCAAACGAGGACACACGCATGTATTTTTTCTTCTATTGATGGTTAGTTTACAACCATATAATATTCAATGAATCAGTGACAACCTTTGAATGTATATATATTTTTTATTATTTTACTGTATTCAAATATGGGAGATAACTCGTGAAGACTAAATTAATTTTTAGTATTGTAAATAGCTAACGGACAACCAGTTGGAAATAAAGTTAATTCTTGTATTGAAATATATGCCTTTTTATGTCAAGAAATTGAATTCAAATGTGGCTGTATGCTGTAGTGTTTATACAAAAAAAATAGTTTATAGACGTATGATTACATTAATTACATTATAGACGTATGATTACACGTATGGTTACATTAATTACATTATAGACGTATGATTACATTAATTACATTATAGACTTATGATTACACGTATGGTTACATTAATTAATCACTCTCACTCAATTAGTTATCAACTAGTTGAATTTCATGTAGCAATGTCTAAATATCAAAATTAATGGTTTCAATTACATAAAGTATACTTAATGATCAAAATAGATATAAGATGACTTTCGTTAAATAAAGAGAAGTTGAACGTTTAACGATGAACGAGGTTTACGTGTTTACGTTTTCCTTAGTTTATTGCGAATCGAAATACTGTAAAAGGGAGTGTTTTAAAGGTATTCTAATTTAATCCTTTATTCATGCCACGGCTTACTCACAATACAGGATCATGTTCTATGAATTAGAAACGTTTGGATAAATGTATTTTGTTGACAGGATTGTGTATCAGAAAAGCTTCATTTTGATACATATCGGGGGTCATTATTACGCTATTTTCTACTAAAAGTCCAGCATCAGGTTTCTACTATACGGTTTTAAAATCAGTTTTCTACTATAAAACTTCAACATCAGTTTTTCTACAGTAAGTGTTGAACATCCGTCCTCTACTATAAGGTTAATTCAGAAGTTTTTCAGCATTAGTCAAGAGATATGACTTCTAAAGCCTACTTTTGGATTTATAATATTAAACCTTTGCATTTCCTATCGACAGTTATGTTTAGAAATATGTTTTTCTCATACTTCGTAAATTCATGATTAAAAAAAAAACCATGACCCATCATATGAATGAAAACGAATTCATAGTATGACTCAAATGACATCTTCTTGTATAAGCATAAGTAATATCTGTAAAGTTATTAATACATTTATACGTTTTTTGTGTGTTGGAATATATATAATTTTACCCCAAGTTATGAATACGGTACTTGATATCTTCACGTGGAAAAAAAATAATAACAGCTTCAGTTGGAATAATATCACATTTTCTTGATCGGATCTAAAGTCTTGGCCTATGGTACTTCGATATCATGATTCGATTTTGCAGGTTGCTTGTTGTAAATTGGGTGTTTATTTACAATGTATTAATTTGTGCATTCTCTAAAAGTTCGAGCAAACGCAGATAGTTATGAGCATGCGCTCTCATAGCACCGGTATTGATTCCAGCACATCCGTTTGACTGTTTTATTCCACTGTTTTGTTAAAATAAAAACACATACAAAATTGATGAATACATAAATTTATTGAGACAAAAATAAATGTTTGAAAGAATAATGATTCATAACAGTAAACTAATTCAGTAACGTCCTTTAAAACTTTTTGTTTTGCTATTTTCGTTCTATGCATTTTCGAACGTAGTTTTTATTACGTTTTATTAAAATCATAGAAAACACAATCAGAGTATTAAATATTACTTATATGTTTTTTTCATAATGAAGAAAGACAATGCCTTTGTTTGATGCATACACAACAGAACAATGACAATTATAAGGATTACTTCCCCTTAACAAACATTATACAATAGTGTTTAAAACAGTCTTGTATCTTATTATAATTACTATTATACGTTCCTTTCATGCTATCGTAATAAAGAAACGGGATGTGAGCAGATAGTATTAAATTATCATGAACAAACTATTTATAACCAAATATTCTAATTTACTAATGAAAGTCAATGCATAACACACACTGATGATATTTGACACTGGCAATCAACGAAGACTTTATATCGTTATATTTCATTTCGTATTTTATTTTAAATTTATTTTAATATTTGTAAGAAATCAACCTTTGTTAAATTAACATATCAATATGTTTGTTATTACTAAGAAAAATGATAATATTTTGATTTCATTGATAAGTTTTTTGGAGCTATTAATAATACCAAAATCATTGTATATGATGATTATTATACAGCGTTGTTCATAGCAACGTGGACATTGAAACCAATCCAGTTCTTTGGGATGGGTTTACCGGCACAGGGTGGCTGTAAAAATACGAAAACATATCATGATATGAATATATAACATATTGGTGTCATCTTAAATTGCTTAGTTCATTTCCGCTAAAAGATAATAAATCTATGAAAAGAAAAACAAGTAAGATTACATGAAATACACAAATGTAGCAGATTTTCTGTGGTTATCTTTGGCAGTCTCTTCAATCAAATGTCATTTCTTGATATCAGTAGTGTCATCCATATTGTGCACTTGATGAAAACAAGACCTGGTATACTACAGACCTAACTATTTATGATACAGATTACATGTGTTACCACTACCTGTTGGTGACGTTATGAAATGCTTATTAACAGCGTATGTCGTAGACAGGTTGGATGGTTTAGTTAGTCTATTTTCACTTACTGCAGGTTTTATGCTTCACAAGACAATACCGAGGCGACAACAAAACCCCAGTGCGAACTCAACATCGATAAAACTAGGACAAACTTTGAACAGTAAAGACTTAACAAGGAAACCCTTAAAAAGCACAAGGATGATATGACCAGGTGTTCTGTGATGTCACACGTAAAAACATGTCATATGTCCATGATTGTACCTTGACAAAATATCGATATCATCATATATTCGTTATATTACAATGATGAACATATACAAACACTCGTTGTCATACAGTTGTGGGCAAACAATACAGTAACATACGTTCGTTATTGTTCGGTGATGAAATAGATTCGACACACGTTCGGTTTTGTTTAATGATGACTATTTAAGTTTATCTCACTTTTGTATTGATACATACCTGTGGGCATTGTCCGTCACAGATCTTAACCTTGTAGTCGAAGAAGAGGTAGGTGTCTTTATTAACAGGGGCAAAGGTCAGAACAACTCCTCTCTGAGCCACGAGGGCAGCTGGCGGTCCAAGCAGTCTCTCCTCTCCAGCAATAGTCAGACAACTAGCATACAACAGCAATAGTTCTGTTAAGCCTACATGCATGCACAATCATTGTAAATTTCTATATTTTAACGCTGCCATCTAGTTAGTTGACTTGATAATCGCTATCAGTTAATTTGTTTTCAATCAATGTTAAGTGATAACGGATGGAACGTATTTTGTTTTTAATATGGAACTCATTTAGGTGTAAATTGTAAATGTATGTTTCGAACAGAGAACTTAAAAAATATAGCATATGAAAGTATTTACATCACTTTTTGTATACTTTTTTCTAATAAATATGATTTATTGAATGACAGTTTACATTTTACCACTTCATCAATAACTGTTTTATTTTTCAAATGTAGGTTGCCCTCATGATTACAAGTCTTAAAACAGTGGATTGTAAAATAAAACATTATATTCTTAGATTTTTAAGGATAATTAAAAAACAATAAACAGTACAAATCATAATTAAATGTAGATGTTGATTATGAACCAATTAATGAATACCGGAAACAAATATTAGTCTTCTACTTTATAAACTTCACAGCAACTAAAGGACGGTCCTGCTTTTAATTACTTCTGTTGTTTTATTATATATGAATAAAGGGTTTATTAGTAAAAAAAAGCGATTTTCCCCATTTTAGATAATCTTAATTCATGATTTGAACTCAGCAAGACCGTTTGTCATATTTACAAGCATGAAGAATGAATATCAGGTTGCTGACACGATTACAAGTGTCCACGCCTCTAAAGTTGTTTTACATTAAGCATGTTATATTTGGTAGAGTCATTGACAGTGAAACCGTTTGTCACGTGCTATTGTGTCCTTACCCATCCACGAGGATATCTGCTATCGGACGAGTTTTCTCGGCGTCGTAGACCTTCAGGTCCCACACCATTGCATGGGCGTCTGGCACTTAAAAAGTAACATACAACTATCGTTTTACATATATGACAAAGCTTTATTAAAAATATATAAGGTAGGAAGTGATGAAATAATCAGATGTTTTTGAAATTTGGAAAAATACATTATAAAAACAGATTTATCTATTATTTTTAAACCCAAAGAGTTAACAAAAATATACGGCGTGCGTTCTATTCTTATAAAACAAATTCGTTCTGTTTAGTTTTTCTACACGTATATTGTCGTTATATAGGAGAAGCAGGCATATCACGAATACTCGAGGGAGGAGGAAAATATATACGAAGGGATGCGAACCAGTAGCTTATAAGGTGTAGCGTTAGCGCATTGAAGAATAGATTCGTAAGTTCGTAAGTTTTAATTTCTCTTAGGAACATACTATCACTTTTGGAGCGTCACTTTTGGTTCATGATGCATTTTAAACCTGTTTAATATCCGACTGAGACCTTTATTTTTGCCGGTGATACACAAGCTTTTTCTACTTTTCCGTTAATGTTTCCTGAAAGTACTGGGGTGTGAAATGGAAACCTATAAAGAAACTAAAAAAGATTCGGTAGTAGTGTTTTAGCCAATAAGTTCACAACATAAACATGTGACTGTTAAAATGCGTTCGATTGAAACAAAATTCAAATGCGGACACAGACAAGATATATTTCGTATTAATTTTGCAAACGATAGTATTCAAATCCTAAATTTTAATTGTTAAAACAAAAACGTTTTGATGTATTCTTATCGAAAATAAGTTAAGGTCCATCATAAAAAATAACAAGTTGACTGTTCACCATTGACTGAAGGCGTGGGGGTGAACTCAAGGGAAAACTCGTTGTAGATTGGCACCTCGCCGTTAGGTTGAGGCTCGTATTGACTGTCTAGCAGTTTGACTTCGTATCGCTGTACATCTAGTTTCGGTTGACTGGAACCGGTGACGCTGTGGTAAAAAACATTGTCATTAATCAAAAGAACAAAACGTATCAAATATCGTCACTGCACAAAGACGCCCATCCTCGAAATCCAGGTAACGCTCACGTTTGCTCTTCACCCCTGGAATATGTCATAGCAAAATCGAAGGCACGCGGCCAGCTATTTGATTGGTCTCGGGTAATAAAACCTGACCAATCGCTAGGCTGATACCTGTCCTTTGAAGATCACAGAGTTGTGTAGAAGGTAGTTAACACTGAACCTTCTATCATGCTATGATATATGGCAGGGTTGCAGAGAGCGAAAGTGAGCGTAACTATTGGATATCCAGGATGAAAGACGCCGTACTCATTGTTGCGATCAAACCATTATTTATTAGGGCTATAATTGATGAAAACAGATTGTACTGTTCTGATATTTATCGTTTGGATAAATACATGCGTAATAATTGAATTTGAAACAGTCTCGCAAACATAATATTAATGACAATATAATATATATCCCGCTAAACATTAGTTTATTATGGTATATACAAATAAGTATATCGCTTATTTAAAAGAATAAGTTGTGTATAATTGTTTTGCCTTTGTCATTCCGACAAATGAAGTATTTCCATGAATGAAAATAAAGATTCATTTCATTTCGGCGAACAAACTGAAATATTAAGTCCCCATATTTTAGTATCACAGTATTAACATTTGGATTTTATAATATGTATTCAACAAAACATTTCAATATATTTTTGCTTATGTGGATATTTAATAATTAAACTTGGTGTGAATACGCAAAGAAATTTAGACTTTGTCTGACTAGACATTGAGTTATCTGTCTTTGTGTATATGGCCATTGAAGTTGATTATCTTATTTATGCATGCATTATGTTATCTACCTTGACCCACATCAAGAGAAAAAACACTGTACATTTTAACAAATATTTGATTTTATCAATTTACCTGTATGTATGATGGTTTTCAATTTTGTGAGCACAGGGTCGGATAGATTTGCTTGTCTGTTTATATTTAATCAGATGTTCGTTATCATGTATATTAAATTTACATTCTTTTTTTCTTTTTTTCCGTTAAAACCAATGTTTCTGTTATTTGTGTCAACATTGCAATTTCTATCGATATTAAATACTTGTGTGAAAACTGATTTTTTTATCATTGAAATGAGTAAATGAATTCTTGTGAAGATGTACACTTCATTATCTACCCGTGTGAAGATGTACATTTCATTATCTACTCTTGTGAAGGTGTACATTTCATTGTCTACCCTTGTGAAGATGTACATTTCATTGTCTACCCTTAACAGTATGTTCATTTAATTACGTACTCTTTTCAATATGTATATTTTAGCCTCTGCATTAATTTGTGTTGATTATATTATCTTTCTTTTTCTCTTTTGCTTGTTTGCGTAGTAACTTACGTATTTCTGTATGTACATTCAAACTCTGTGATCCAATCGAGTGGAGTAACTATCCCGAAGGATGACTGGATTTCAACGTGGAACATCTGTACAGTTGTACTTGACTTAAACAAAGAGAAAGCAAGTTTGATTTGTGAGGACATTGCTGTGATTTGTTTTTCCTATTTCTTTTCATTTTTATGATTGAATAGATTTTCGAATTGTTTTTTAAATTGACAATGAGCTCTCTTTGAATATCAAGAAATTCCATGACAACATCGATTGTATACATATATATCCCCGCGAGCTTGAAGTCAAGGACGCCACAGATTCATCTATTTTAGCAACATCTATGCACTTAACAGATTGAGTATTGCCTAAATTGGATATCTTACATCAATAACCATAGTGTGTAACGCGCCCGCACATGGATGGCCCGGGGGAGGCATCCTGTCAACGGTCAGTTCGTACTTGTAGACATGCCGTCCGGCAGGAACCCGAGAAAACATACACATTGGGTGACCATGAAGTACCACAGCCTTATCAGAGGACACATGGGTCACGATGGTGATATTTTTCGAACCACAAATAATAGTATCTAAAGATAAAAAAGGAAAGTTAAAATACATTTGAAAGCAACCTAATTTGATACGCGAGATCTTCTAATTCTTCTTGCTATTGTTTTCCTTCGCATATAATCAAAATTAGTGACAATAGTTACAACATTATAAATAGTAACAAAATATACGTTACTTTTTAGTTGAAAAAGCAACAAGATACAGACCCTGATATAAGAACGAAATATATACTATGAAACAGGTTCCTTAGTGATAACATAAGGTGGTAACAGAAAACAGGTCCTACCGTTCTTCGTTTCGCAATTTTTGCCGAAGTATCCGTAGTCACAGTAGCACCAGTCCCTGTTCCAGGTAGTCACACACTGGCCATGACCGCTACAGTTATTTACACATGTCGGCACCCCTGTTAGAAATAAATCTGATTAAATTGCTTGTCAAGTAATTAACGGGAACACTAAATTGTCGATATTCGGTATGAAATTCTTTCGTTTGTATGAATAACTAATGCGAAGTTTGTTTTTTTGAACACAAACAGTTATCATGTTTTCAATTACTCTGTGTTCAAAACAATTTTAACATTCAAAGTTGTAAATCAAGTTGAAATGCTTTGAGCTACCAAACAGTACCACTGCATATTTGTATAGACATCATTTTATTGCCAGCCTGCTGGATAATGTTTATGCTCAACCTTTTATTAACAGCTGTGGTCATTTAAGGACGAGCCAGATTTTGGGAGGGACACCGGAGTACCGCTCAACCTGCGATGAGTACCTGATGATGGCCCCACGTAGACCTTTGACCCGGTAGTAAAGGGTAATTGATAATTGACAGTCTGACGCCATTGTAAGGTCATGTCGACTCAGAAAAAATCTGACTGGCATATAAAACTTACTAGCGTATTCAGTATAATCGTTGTAACTAATGCCATGAATTGAGCTGATTTGTAAATTGGATTTTAAAATGGCGTTAAGAAGTGTTTCAACTTCATTCACCAACTCAATGGAGGCATCGAGTTATTTAGTTATCAAATTGTTTGAATATCCAATTCCAGGTATTGTCAATGTAGCTGTTTTAAGTTATCGAAATAAGTGCGGTGTAGACTGAGTTTGTGTATCAATGCGACTGGCACGAGGAATTGATGTAGAAATCTTGTTGTTTACGGTTCAGTGTAATAGATTCGTTATCAATTGATTGGTGTATCCATTAGGTTTCGAATATACAGAGGCCATCTAACATTGTCTTCAGTAATTCCAAACATATTTCACAAGTGTGGCTAATGTTTCGATATCTTTCACGAGTGCGCTGGACGAGTGAAAGTTATCAGAAATTAGCCACACGAGTCAACTTGGAGATGCTGACATCGTGTTTCATTTGACATGAGTTTCCTCCTATCAAAAAGATACAATCGCTGACCTGCATAGTCTTCTGGCTTCCTTAAAATAAACTGTGGAATTATACGTTGTTCCCCAGAGAATAGTTCTTTGGTAGCAGATCTGATCATTCAGGGCAGTAGAATAGGCGGATTTTTATGACGCCTGCGTATCGAGAGGCTAACCAGACATTGACCCGACGAGCAGCTTGTAATTCTTCCCAGTGGTTTCAATGCGAATGACAGCAGACATTTAATGAGCTGATTAGTTTAAGCTGATTTAGATATCTAATTGATATCTGTATGAAGTTGATTGATGTTTTGGGTGGTTGGGTGGTGCAGTGGATAGCGCACTTGACTTTAATAAAGTTTATATGATATTGATGTTTGTGAATGGCGGATGTGTATCAGTTACTGTAATATCCAACTATTTGCTGTATCGGGCTTTCAATAGGTACGATTATTCGGATTATCAAGTTGATATAATAATCAGGAATCTTTTTATGTTAGATGTTGGGGTATCGATAAAATTCCTGTCTCGAAATGATTAAAATATGAAGTTGTCCGGTGTAGTAAGTAAACTGTTTATCAAATAAAGTATTTTACATATGGCGCTAAATAGAGTAATAAGCTGATTAATTAATTAAATCGATTGAATCATATATCATTGATGTGTTGAGTCAATACGGGTATACTGTTGATTACACTATTTCATTGAATAGGAAATTTGAGTTTGCTTCATGTATCGAACTGAGCGATATATTGAGCCGATAGTTTATTGAGGTGTTAATCTGATTGAGGTATTTGAGTTTTTATGAAATAAAGTTGACAAATAGATCTAATAGATTTATATTTGTAGTTGTTTGATTGATGTTTGATTTTCAATTCTACTCTGGCGTCGTATTGATTGATGTATCAAGTTTCGGCAGTTGACTGATGTGTCAAGTCGGTAAATGTTGCTTCATCACGGTTGTATATTGCAGATTGGTACATTCTTTGTTTTAAGCAGATCAGATTACTCAATATATAAGTTGATTGAGGTATTGAGTTCATATGGATATCAAATTGATATCAAAGTTATCGAATTCATTGCTGAACGTATGGTTTTGATTCCGTGGTTGGCAACCCGTGTTATACTAATTTTGACTTACATGAAGAGGTGTTCCCCCTCGATAAGTCATGTTTCCCTCGGGCTTCGCCCTCGGGACACATGCTTTATCTCGGGAAATTAACTCTTTAGGTCTCCTTCACAACAGGGCAATAACTGTATAATGGAATCAACATTCTGTGGACCTTGAACAAATGTCTTATTTCAGGATAGTTGGTATTGGTTAGTAGCACAGGGACCAAATAATTTGTTACAGCTGCATTTAGACCTAAACTAAGGTGTTCAAAGTAATTTTACATGTTTTAAGGGTTTATATCGACTTTCGGTAAAAATGACACCCCCAATGATCATATATCATGTCCCTGTGATTACACCTGGTACGGTATGATTCCGTTTTCACTTTTAATACAGAGTTCGTTCTGTTGAATTTTCTATCTACAATTTTAACAATGGCTATTTTTCAAGGAATTTTAGTCTTTCAATTCAATGCTAACAGGTATGTTTAAAATAATGCTATTACACATGATACTGAACATGTCCAGTTTTTTTTATTAAATATCAATTTCCTTATCTATAACATGCATTATAAACTCAATACTTGATATAATGGGTAAATAAAACATTAGGTAAATATATAAATTAGGTAAATATATACATTAGGTAAATACTTACATTAGGTAAATATATACATTAGTTAAATATATACATTAGGTAAATATATGCATTAGGTAAATACTTACATTAGGTAAATATATACATACATTAGGTAAATATGTACATTAGGTAAATACTTACATTAGGTAAATATATGTAAATATATACATTAGGTTAAATATATACAATATATACATTAGGTAAATATATACAATAGGTAAATACTTACATTTAGGTATCCGACAATCGAAACCTCGAAATCCCGTGGGACACTCGCAAGTTTGGTTTTCAGAACATCTACCGAATTGCTGACAATAAAACCCCGGTCTTTGGCAGTAACTATTTACTGAAGCATACAAAGTCAATAGCACGAACATGTATAAATGCAAAAGTATTTAGATATCATAATATTTCTAGGGAATGCATTTAATGTATTTTTTTAAATGAGTCATATCCATTGATATAGGATTAATTCAAGACTATTGGTTATTATTGTTCTTATAATACAAATGTGATAACATTAACATTCTTATATCATTTTGTTATGCTAGGGATTGATAGCAAACTGTTACATACAAATAATATATTATACTAATTTCGTTGGAATTTTTGAACATTTAACCAGTTTGTTAATATGTTGTAAACTGATTTCACATGTTTTTCACTTTGATTTAATGAAATAACTGTTACGTCTGTAAGATACGTGTGTTATAATTCCATTATCATATAAAACTGAATTCTTACCAAGTACGACGAAAGTGAGTCCAACAAGCAAGGACGAAAAAAGAATGAAGGAAGACATCTGTAAATGTAAACAAAGTCAATTATTGCCGATTCACTATAAATCTCAATTATTCCAAACGTGAACGAAATATGTCAGCCAAACAAACAACGCCTGCAAGCTAAAGGATTTGACCTACATACTAGCTTTAAAAAATCCTTTTAAACATTTAAGTTTAAGATATAACAAATTGAAACTACATGATTTCAATAAAGATTTAACTCACATAGCTGTGTATGATGTAATTCTATAAGATATATTGTAAGAATGTGATTTTATCAAACACGAAGCGTACGGTATGAATTAACATTGAGTTTTATGGCGAAAGTCATGTTGTAATAAGGATTTTATAAGACCTGAAATTCGTCATGGTATATCCTTTAGTGATATAATCATAGTTTTGGTTTGATCAAGGAGTGAAATTAATCATAAATCGAATTTTATCAAACAATAACACGTTTATGATTCATCAGGAAGGATAGCAAGCAGGAATATCTAATATACAATGACATCATAGCAAAGGAATGAATGTTTATGATTTAACATAAAGCAGTTTCAAATTAAAACAATTAGTTTGTAGGAATTAAAAAGTAATTGTCCATATTGTTTGGTATTATTAAAAAGGATGTGTCACGTACGATTATGTCTGTACAAATGCAGAAAGATTACTTAATGAAGAGTTTCACGTAGTAAACAAAGTTATTCTCAAATTGCAAATAAGGAGCTACAATTTTAACAAAAAACATATGGAATGTTTTTTTGAATACTGGTCAGAATATTTAAACATGAAAACAATGACATTACATTATCGCAATGTTAAGTGTCGAAACCCCAACACATTTATCAACAAATTATAATAATAATTTACAATTAACTAAAATCTCGTCATGTGTTAAGAAACGAAACACATATACAACTGTATATCATAAAACATATTAAAATGAAGTGCAAAACATAGTAAGTGCATAAAAAGTATGAGCTTCAAATTACTTACTTTGTAACGAACTAATTATATATTTCTGTTAATGAGAAAGTCATTATACAATTTTTTGTCGCCGAAGTGTATGTCTGTGACGTAAGTGTTTCACATTACCATACGGCTGTCACGATCTCTCGCGAAATTCGTTTACATATTAGCACTTCCTCTTATATAATCAGTTGAATGATAATGACGAAAACACTACATTTCTTGGCATTGGTGTCGATTTGTGAAACATTCCATAGCTGGTTTTGATTGTATGACAATAGATCTTACCTTTATGATAAACTGATGATTGAAAGAAATGTCAGATTATCCCGAAAATCCTTCATATATCGGACAAAAACTTGGCCCGTGTCTGTAGAAAACTGTAGAAAGGTAGAAGCACTCAACTAAAACAACGGTGAGTTATAATGAATACCTAATACGGAATAGAAGATTTCCTATAGCCCTAGGGCACTCCATCACTGAAGATTTCGTGACGGTGGAGCGGGGTCGTCAAATATCATTCACCAACTGGTACAAATGAAGTGTAGATCGTCATTTTATTCAACGATATTAAAATAGAACATCATATACCTTGTACAAATATAAAGTCATATCTATACACCTACGTGTATTACAGTACATCTGATCAGATAGTCGATGGAATTGAAGAAACGAACTCTTTTTACTACAGTGTATTAAATGTATTGTGCTTGTCGGAACATATATAATATATAATACTGATAAGAGCAACTCATTTTTAAAAGATATATGAATTATATTTAAAATAGAATAATTTAATTATGAAATTCATATTAATTTCCATGAGTATATCATTATGAATAAGACAGAGATAAATAGATGACCCCTATATGCAATTAAGTCAATCAAGATTTTGATTGTCGAATCCTGCTATGGGGAATTCCATGTTTCAATGTAATCATGTTAATGTCACATTTCGTTTAATATCATGATTTATAAAGACGGTGTTTTTGTTTTCTTTTATGTCAGTAATTCAGTTTTTTTAAGTTCATAATGTGATTTGGTGTCAGTTCTCATTAATATCATGTAATGTAGCCAAATATCCGGTAATATTATTATACTTACAATATAAAATTAAGTCATATATATTATACAATGCATACCATATATGTCAACGCAATGTCAACACATAAGACAGTGAAATATGAGACAGTGAAATATGAGAACTGTTTAATTTAAGTAGGAAATATCTAACAAATATTTGTGATGAATTGCAAAGATGAATTGCCAAGTGATAAATTACAGAGTATAACAGGTCGGTCACTTACCGCAGTGGAGATCTACATTTACCTTCGGATTATGCTGCCTTCCCCGTAGTTTTGGTGTATTCCGTGTACCTATTGTTATATTTTTCAAATGGGTATGAGTTACAATTTCCTTCCAGTGCCTACTTTAAAGTACAAACTGCTTGTTCACAAAAAACTGAATATAGTTCTTTTTAAAATGACTCAGTATATTCGAACTGCTTAACCTGAAGTAAACGTGAATCAAACAAACGTACGTCCGATGAAGACAGTATTTGCTATGATAGTCATCAAATTGATTGATCTTAATCATTTTGCTTGTTCATGTTCTCGCGTGGATTGTGAACATTGTATATCAACTAATTAATCGAATGACAAACGATTGGAAATATTTTATTCATAAAATTAAAATATGTAAATAGAAGTACAGGTGATGGTATACTCCTCAGTAAGAACAGTACTCATTCAACGTCTATGTCGTATGCGTCATTTTGATTAATTTCCCCCTACAATGCTGTGTGTGTGATTTTTTCAATTTTAAAAGGATATTACGCACTTCGTTATAATAGCAGGCCATGGCGTATAATAGTGTTCTTACCGTAGGGAACTTAAAACTACAAAACCGTATTCATGATCATTCTCATCACCAATCTCATGACCGTTCGCATGATCGATCTTATGACCGTTGACATGACCATTCTCATGGCCGTTCTCATGGAATTATTAAGGGATATTCTCTTTGCCGTCCTCACGGCCGTTCTCATTATTGTTCTCATGGTATTCCTTATGGTCGTTCTCATAACCATTTTCATAACCATTCTCATGGCCGTTTTCATGACCAGTCTCATGTCCGTTCACATGACCGTTCTCATGATCATTCTCATGGCCGTTAGCATGACCGTTCTAATGACCATTCTCATGGCCATTCTCATTGCCCTTCACATGGACGTTCTCAAAACAATTTGCATGACCAATTTCATGACTGTTCTCAAAATCATTCACATGGACGTTCTAATGACTGTTTGCATAAACGTTCTCATGACCATTCTAATGACCGTCCTCATGGCCGTTCTATTGGCCGTACTCATGACTGTTCTGGTGACCATTCTCATGACTTTTTTCATAACCACTCTCATGATCGTTCTCAAGTCGTTTTCATGACCATTCTCATGGACGTTCTAATGACCGTTCCATTGACCGTTCTCACTGCCGTTCCCATGACTTTTCACATGACCGTTCTCATGACTGTTCCAATGACCGTTCTCATTGCCGTTTCCATGGACGTTTTAATGGCTATTCTCATTGCCGTTCTCAGGCTGTTCTCATGACCGTTCTCAAGACCATTCTCAAGGCCATTCTCATTGCCCTTCTCATGGACGTTCTCAAAACAATTTGCATGACCATTTTCATGACTGTTCTCAAAATCATTCACATGGACGTTCTAATGACTGTTTGCATAACAGTTCTCATGACCATTCTCAAGCCCGTTTTCATGACCATTCTCATGACCGTTCTCATGACTGTCCTCATTTCCTTTCTCATTGCCATTCTCATTATCGTTTTCATTGCAGTCCTTATGGTCGTTCTCATTTCCTTTCTCATTGCCATTCTCATCACCGTCCTCATGGCCGTTCTTATGACAGTTCTCATTATCGTTCTCATGGCATTCATTGTTGTCGTTCTCATTTTCGTTCTCATTTTCGTTCTCATGGCTGTTTTCGTGACCGCTTGCATGGCCGTTCTCACGCTCAAACACAGATGATCTTGTTTCGGTGATAAATTGAAAATAAGCCAAAAGACATTCGGTCCTTGATTTGGAAGAATTTCGGAAATACCTAAAGCAAGCAAATCCCGTTTTCAATGCAAACAATAATTTGATCATGTGACATGGTTGAAGCCAATACTAAGAAAGTTTATTATCGTTAGTTTTTCAATACGTTTTTTAACCGTCTTCAACATAAACCACTGTAGGTTTCCTCTCTCCTAACTTATTCAAAACACCTTTAAGGGTTGGTTGGCAAACATACTTGGTTATCTACTAATGGATAACACCATGGACGCGCTTCCATTGGCCAATCTTTTAGTCATGACGTCATTGAACAAAGCTTTGCGACGACATCTACCATAGTGACGTCATAGTTTATGGCAACTGTTTCCTCGATCGGAATCAGGAATGATGCTTTCCTAAGTATTTTAGAAATAATATATGAACGTTGTGGGGGAGAAAAGTCCCAAAACTCGTGATGGTTTGTTATCATGTTTATCTTACTCTTGTTAGCTAATATTCAAATAAAAATGTCACTCGGTTAACATCGTACGTTTATACAATTTCAAAATTAATTAACTCGGGTTAGATAAACATAATAACCTACCATTACTCGTGAGGGAACCTCTATTTCTTTAATGATACAGAAAGGTTACAACCAAAGAAATGATCATTGTATTTGATCACAAACCCAACTTTGTAATAGGGGTGATCGTGCGTTCTTTATGCTCGACGTCAACAGAGATATAGTTGTGGTCAATTATTGACCTTACAGTAGCTAAAGAGATGCCGCTAACTAATAAATTGTATCACTGAGAATTGACAAATTCCAGGGTTCCATGTCTGGTATCATTGGTTTACTTATTCAAAACTGAAAATAAGAAAATTCATACAGCATCGGTATATATTGATCCAAGCATTGAAGACTTATAATTTTTGTCATTCTCAAGCTTCTTTTACTGGCTCACTCAGGAGATACGTGTAAATACGTTATGTACTCATTGAAGCCATACAACAATTTAGCAACAGTGTTTTGGAATAAAGAATTAATAACTTAGTTAAATACGTTCATTCCCCATATCAACTGTGGTCACTGAAACCGATAATGATACCAACAGGCCGTGCTAACCTGATAAACATCCATGTTTCCAACATGAATGTGAGTCACGAACTCATTATCATTAACATAACATTTCCCCTGTCATTATCTATATAATTATATCATTACTTTTGTTACGCCTAACTTGTCAATTTCTCGCTTTTGGCCTTGGCGGCAAGTGTTTGTCCAAGCGTAACAAATCATTAACGTTGCACTCTGTTTGGCGTTCAGGACCAGTAGTTTAACTTTAACGCGTGGTCACTGAAAACACAAGTTTTTGTCAATACCAATAAACAACTTTGCACCTCTGTTTCAAAACACGACGAAAAAAGGACGAAACAGCTGTATAACGCAGTGCTATTTCTGAGTACAACCATGTTTTAAAGGTGCAATAACCAACTTATGGATAAAACGTTCATCATTAAATATATTAAAAAGATATTCAAGCCGAAAGTTAAGAATATGTGTTGTTCTTATCAACAGATACTTATTCCAGATACAATTTCCGACATTCTAGATCTTGCGCTGCTGATTTTTGAGATTAATATCCAGTTTTCAAAGGTCTTGCATCATATTTGCACATAACTATATTGAATTCAATTTGACATTGACGATTCACCACATAGAGTTCTCCATGAAAACAAGCAGGAATCAACGTGTTTAATTATGATATATTTCTTTTTATACAATAAGAAAGTAACACTACCTGAATCACTTTTATTATTCACCGAGAGACTCTTTTTTTCAAATGCTGGCTGTATTAATTAGATTTGTTAAGGGTTTAAGAGAGTGTTAAGAAACTATTTAAGATAGAAAAAATAAAAAGGTCGGGTAACTATTCGGCCCGACTTCAATTTCTTTTATTGTTTCGCAATATTTAGAAACATAAACATGAACAACTACTGCATATATGATGATTCATTATTACTACTGATAACTGTAATGGACCTCCTTGCATACTACCAGGTTGAGGAGATATTCTTCCCAAGAAATCTCGACATGTTTCGATTTGGATAGAGATATTCTTCCCAAGGGAACTCGACATGTTTCAATGTGGATAGAGATATTCTTCCCAATGCCCAAAACATCAGCTCCCAGGGTGTCTGTTCCTCTATTTTGTTTATAAGTTTGATCCCAAATCCTTGAGAATGATCCTGCCTATATAGGGTTGATATACACCACGTAATGCTACAGAAGTAGTCACTTACAACAAATACGGCCAAACTAACCCTGTTTGCCCCCACCCTAAAGACAACAAGAGGCCAGCCCCAGTTTTAAGCCCCACCACCTGAAAATGTTTCCAATGAAGTAAGGTTGATATTCATCACTTTGTCACTTAGAGCAATATAAATTACTCCTTTTGCCCGCCAATTAGCCCTCCCATCCCACTCCTATGAAGGGACGTCCCCTTCATTTGTAAACTTTGGAATCCCCATTACATTAGAATGCTTTCAGCCGAATATGGTTTATTTCCATCACCTTGTTTCAAAGAAAAAGGCACTTGAAGCAATGTGGCTAAATTAACCCCCTATTATTATGGTTGCTTGTTCTGAATTCCGTCTTTGCGTATTGCAGAGTTATCTTCTCTTGGGAGCAGGTATTGATTGTTACGTCATTGGTTTGTGTGAGAAAATTACGTCGTGTTCACAAAAATTGATGACGTTACTCTCACAAACAAGTGACGTAACAATCGATACCTGTTCCAAAGAGAAAATAACTCTGCAATACGCAAATACGGAATATCACGACTTCCGTGATCAATGGCGATTGTTTCCAAAGCTGCCGGTGATTGAAGACTATTGATATGTTTTATGGTCGCTACCATGTTTTCGCAGAGAAATATGCAATATTTGTATGTGATTTGAAGGTCGGTGTGTTTATTATGGTCATTAAGATGCCTTATGGTTTTGTTGTTACACCCCGAATTAACGATGTGATAACGTGGTAATACTTGGTTTATCTTTACGTGGTTTGCAACTGTCATCCATGCAGCATAAGGCGTTTACCTTCCGAAACACCTGTTTGTTCTGTCCAAGTAAGTGTTACCTTAATTTGTCCTTTGATTATAATTTGCTTTAAATTGATCTATTTTTAATCCGAAGTAAGGTTCAATTAACATTTAGATATTCTTTTGTCGCTTTTTTGTCGTAAATTAATTTAAAATATTAATATTTTATTAAAAAAAGGTGCAATGCGAACATACGATTTTGTAGACAATCAACATATAAATAGTAGTAAAGTCATTCATACATTAAATGTAATACAATTGCACATATAATCAATTAAAACAAGTTATTGTTTTGTCGCTGTATTGTTAATGTAATTGAGGTAGGAGTCAGCATAAACTAGTTTATTATCTAAACAGGATATCAAAACGATTTCGATTTTTCGCGGGTATCACTGTTTACTGGATACAATGCACATGCATATTCAACTCAGAATAAAAAACAGCTATATTGTACAGTCAGAAAGTGCACCAAACGTAAACATGTCGACCAATGCAAGACTGCCATTATATCAAAAGTAGATTGCCAGGAATATGTTCTAACTTAAATAAAAAACACAATCTTTTGTTTCGTACGTAACAGATTTTGATAAGATATGAATGATATACATTTATTACGCTTGTATATCAAGACGTTCCCCAGGGTGTTTTAAGTTGTAGATGTGGCAATAGAAGTAACAGGTTATTTTAGTGCTTGCCATATTCCGTCTTTGCATATTGCACGTCACTTGTTTGTGAGAGTAACGTCATCAATTTTTGAGAAAACGACGTAATTTTCTCACACAAACCAATGACGTAACAATCAATACCTGCTCCCAAGAGAAGATAACTCTGCAATACGCAAAGACGGAATAACGGTACGTTTGGTGCGTTCTGCATGCCGTAGAACACAAAATACCATTGAAATCCGGTTAAAAAGCTGCAGTATGTTAAACAAGTATCCTGCTGGCAGATAAGCCATTGACATTACTGTTGACTGCCACGTGAGTTTAAATTCGCTCTTGTTGATAATTATTTCTGCTCCTGATCTATGATTTCCTTCCAGGGAGAGGCAGAACGCTTTCCAAACTTGCTTGTGGATGTCTTACTGTCTGGTCAGTTGTGCTCTTCATATGTTGCCGTTGTTTCTTTATAAGATGAATGCTAGTGGAGCGAAGGGAGTTGAGGGGATGAGGGGTTGGCGGTTGGGGGTCACTCGTTTATGTAGTTGAACAGGAATCTGATACATGTAGCTCAAATGTTGACCTGTATTACTGGTTATCTTAAATAAAGCCGAATTATTGTAAAAACTCGCACTTAATAAAAGTCCTAATTATTTGACAGTTTAAACTCTCACAACTTTACGGAAAGTCTCCCCTACCTCGATTTTTTTTTTATATTACACCCACAAATAAAAGTTATTCTCATAATTATTACAGAATAGAAGCAGAGTATTGTTTGACATTTTAGAAAAAAAACAACTTTGTAAACAAATTTGAAATTGTCAGCTTAAGTCTTTCGTGAAATTATCTACTTTCCCTGTTCCCATACTTTCATACGAAAGTTTATAAATCTTCCTCTGAACTCAAATGACTAAATCTATCGAATTACTTTCTCCGAAAAAGAAATATCCAAAATTTGAATATCTATTACGAAGCTGTTCACTGTCAAGTGAGTTTCTAAAGGTAACAGTTTCATACTAGATTTCTCAAATTTGGATATTACCTTTTGAAAGAAGGTAACTGCATGGATAAAATGATTGCATCGTTTCATATACATAACTACAGGGACATTGATAGACAACAATTTGCAATCATACATGTTTTAATGTTTTATTACATCAATGTGATTGGTTGTTTGTGAAAACCGTGATTACCCTTGCCAATGTAAATCACATAAACATATCTTAAATACAATGGATGGTGGTACAAATGACAAGTTTTTCATCAGAAGAAATCGATCTTATGTGAATACTAGAATAGCACTGGTCTATGACAAAACGTATTCAACATTCTAAATGAAACAATGAAACATTACAATTATATTAGAAAAGTAATAGCCATTGTCCAACAATAGCGGAAGGATTTGCAAAATTTTGTTAAATTTTTCCAAATAGTTGCGGTTAAAGTAAACTATATACATCAATACGCAGACAATGCAGTATCGCTGTGGGTGTCCTTTTCGCTAGTGTTGGACTACATTTCTTAGAACCTGTTTAATCTTTCATTCTAGGATCAGACGAAGTCCAGGTCGAGCCTCTTGTATTTTCGTTGCGTGACAGAAAGGCTACAAACAAAAACGAATTGTTTTATTTAGATATTTCGAATTTATATGAAGTAAACAGTTTATCAATGCAGGATTATAATCGGCTACTTGAATGAAGTGGATTAAACCTGCTCTATACACATTCGTCTAATAATGAACATTCCAATAATACTACTACTAATAATAATATTTCAAGTTTCTTATATACCGTTTTATCACAGTCTTGTTCGTAGGTCATCTCAAAGCGGTTCACAAATTATTATCCGTGGTTACAGGGCCTCTGCAACCAGCCAATATCTTTCTCAAATTCCTGGGGAGCATACAGCCGGTGCTGCCATTTCAGCGCTCCCAGCTAGCATTTTACATTTCTAGCACTGCCCAACAACGAACTCATTTACAGCTGAGGAGACTGGAACAAGCGGGGTAAAATATCTTGCTCAAAGATACAACACAGTGCCGTGCCGAGACTCGAAATCACAAGCCTTTGGTAACGAGCCCAGAGTCCTACCGCTAGACTACCGTGCCTCACAACTATCCGGTAACGAGCCCGGCATCCTACCCTAGACTACCGTGCCTAACAACTATTCGGTAACGAGCCCGTCGTCCTACCCAAGACTACCGTGCCTCTCAATCCTTTGGTAACGAGCCCAGAGTCCTACCACTAGACTACCGTGCCTCACAACTATTTGGCAACGAGCCCGGCATCCTACCCTAGACTACCGTGCCTAACAACTATTGGGTAACGAGCCCAGATTCCTACCACTAGACTACAGTGCCTCACAACTATCCGGTAACGAGCCCGGCATCCTCCCCTCGACTACCGTGCCTAAGAACTATTCGGTAACGAGTCCGGCGTCCTACCCCTAGACTCCCGTGCCTAACAACTATCCGGTAACGAGCCCGTCGTCCAACCCAAGACTACCGTGCCTCAACACCCTTCGGTAACGAGCCCAGCGTCCGACCACTAGATTACCGTGCCTCACAATCCTTTGGTAACGAGCCCCGCGTCCGACCACTAGATTACCGTGCCTCACAACTATTCGGTAACGAGCCCGGCCTCCGACCACTAGACTACCGTGCCTCACCACCCTTCGGTAACGAGCCCGGCGTGCATCCTACCCTAGACTACCGTGCCTAACAACTATTTGGTAACGAGCCCGTCGTCCTACCCAAGACTACCGTGCCTCTCAATCCTTTGATAACGAGCCCAGAGTCCTACCACTAGACTACCGTGCCTCACTACCGTGCCTCACAACCCTTTGGTAAAGAGCCCGGCGTCCTACCACTAGACTACCGTCCCTCACAACTTTTCGGTAACGAGCCCGGAGTCCGACCACTAGACTACCGAGCCTCACAACTATTCGGAAACGAGCCCGGCGTCCTACCCTAGACTACCGCGCCTCACAACCCTTCAGTAACGAGCCCGGCGTCCTACCACTAGACTACCGTGTCTCACAACCCGTCGGTAACGAACCCGGCGTCCTACCACTAGACTACCGTCCCTCACAACTTTTCGGTAACGAGCCCGGAGTCCGACCACTAGACTACCGAGCCTCACAACTATTCGGAAACGAGCCCGGCGTCCTACCCTAGACTTCTGTGCCTCACAACTATTCGGTAAAAGCCCGGCGTCCTACCACTAGACGACCGTGCCTCACAACTATTTGGCAACGAGCCCGGCGTCCTACCCTAGACTACCGCGTCTCAAAATCCTTCGGTAAAGAGCCCAGCGTCCTACCCAAGACTACCGTGCCTCACAACAATTCGGCAAAGAGTCCGGCGTCCTACCACTAGACTACCGTGCCTCACCACCCTTCGGTAACGAGCCCGGCGTCATACCACTAGACTACCGTGTCTCACAACCCGCCGGTAACGAACCCGGCGTCCTACCACCAGACTACCGTCCCTCACAACTTTCCGGTAACGAGCCCGGCGTCCTACGACTAGACTACCGTGCCTCACAACAATTCGGCAAAGAGCCCGGCGTCCTACCACTAGACGACCGTGCCTCTCAACTATTTGGCAACGAGCCCGGCGTCCTACCCTAGACTACCGCGTCTCAAAATCCTTCGGTAAAGAGCCCGGCGTCCTACCCAAGACTACCGTGCCTCACAACTATTCGGTAACGAGCCCGGCGTCCTACCACTAGACTACCGTGCCTCACAACCCTTTGGTAAAGAGCCCGGCGTCCTACCACTAGACTACCGTGCCTCACAACTTTTCGGTAACGAGCCCGGCGTCCTACCACTAGACTACCGTCCCGCACAACTTTTCGGTAACGAGCCCGGCGTCCTACCCTAGACTACCGCGCCTCACAACCCTTCAGTAACGAGCCCGGCGTCCTACCACTAGACTACCGTGCCCGACAACTATTTGGCAACGAGCCCGGCATCCTACTCTAGACTACCGTGCCTCACAACCATTCGGTAACAAGCCCGGCGTCCTACCACTAGACTACCGTGCCTCTCAATCCTTTGGTAACAAGCTCGGCGTCCTACCACTAGACTACCGTGCCTCACAACTATTCGGTAACGAGCCCGGCGTCCTACCCTAGACTACCGTGCCTCACAACTATTTGGTAACAAGCCTGGCGTCCTACCACTAGACTACCGTGCCTCACAACTATTCGGTAACGAGCTCGGCGTCCTACCACTAGACTACTGTGCATCACAACTATTCGGTAACGACCCCGGCGTCTTACCACTAGACTACCGTGCCTCATAACTATTCGGTAACAAGCCCGGCGTCCTTCCCTAGACTACCGTGCCTCACAACTATTCGGTAACGAGCCCGGCGTCTTACCACTAGACTTCCGTGCCTTACAACTATTTGGCATAGGGCCCGGCGTCCTGCCCTAGACTACCGTGCCTCACAACTATTCGGTAACGAGTCCGGCGTCTTACCACTAGCCTACCGTGCCTCACAACTATTCGGTAACGAGCCCGGCGTCCTACCAATAGACTACCGGGCCTCACAACTATTCGGTAACGAGCTCGGCGTCTTACCACTAGACTTCCGTGCCTTACAACTATTTGGCATCGGGCCCGGCGTCCTCCCCTAGACTACCGTGGCTCACAACTATTCGGTAACGAGCCCCGCGTCTTACCACTAGACTTCCGTGCCTTACACCTATTTGGCATAGGGCCCGGCTTCCTGCCCTAGACTACCGTGCCTCACAACTATTTGGTAACGAGCCCGGCGTCCTACCCTAGACTAGCGTGCCTCACAACTATTCGGTAACGACCCCGGCGTCCTACCCTAGACTACCGTGCCTCACAACTATTTGGCATAGGGCCCGGCGTCCTACCGTAGACTACCGTGCCTGACAAATATTCGGTAACGAATCCGGCGTCCTACCAATAGACTACCGTGCCTCACAACTATTCGTTAACGAGCCCGGCGTCCTACCACTATACTACCGTGCCTCACAACCCTTCAGTAACGAGCTCGGCTTCCTTCCCCTAGACTACCGTGCCTCACAACTATTCGGTTACGAGCCTGGCGTCTTACTACTAGACTACCGTGCCTCATAACTATTTGGCATAGGGCCCGGCGTCCTACCGTAGACTACCGTGCATGACAAATATTCGGTAACGAATCCGGCGTCCTACCAATAGACTACCGTGCCTCACAACTATTCGTTAACGAGCCCGGCGTCCTACCACTAGACTACCGTGCCTCACAACTTTTCGGTAACGAGCCCGGCGTCCTACCCTAGACTACCGTGCCTCACAACTATTAGGTAACGAGCCCGGCGTCCTACCACTAGACTCCCGTGCTTCACAACCCTTCAATAACGAGCTCGGCGTCCTTCCACTAGACTTCCGTGCCTCACAACTATTCGGTAACGAGCCCGGCGGCCTACCACTAGACTACCGTGCCTCACAATTCTTTGGTAACGAACCCGGCGTCCGACCACTAGACTACCGTCCCTCACAACTTTTCGGTAACGAGCCCGGCGTCCTACAACTAGACTACCGTGCCTCACAATCCTTCGGTAACGAGCCCGGCGCCCTCCCCTAGACTACCGTGCCTCACAACTATTCGGTAACGAGCCCGGCGTCCTACCACTAGACTACCGTGCTTCACAACCCTTCAATAACGAGCTCGGCGTCCTTCCACTAGACTACCGTGCCTCACAACTATTCGGTAACGAGCCCGGGGTCCTACCACTAGACTACCGTGCCTCACAACCCTTCGGTAACGAGCCCGGCGTCCTACAACTAGACTACCGTGCCTCACAATCCTTCGGTAACGAGCCCGGCGTCCTACCACTAGACTACCGTGACTCACAACTATTCGGTAACGAGCCCGGCGTCCTACCCTAGACTACCGTGCCTCACAACTATTCGGTAACGAGCCCGGCGTCCTACCACTAGACTACCGTGCCCGACAACTATTTGGCAACGAGCCCGGCGTCCTACCACTAGACTACCGTGCCTCACAACCCTTCAGTAACGAGGCCGGCGTCCTACCACTAGACTACCGTGCCTCACAACCATTCGGTAACGAGCCCTGCGTCCTACCACCAGACTACCGTGCCTCACAACTATTCGGTAACGAGCCCGGCGTCCTACCACTAGACTACCGTGCCTCACAACTATTCGGTTACGAGCCCGGCGTCTTACCACTAGACTACCGTGCCTCACAACTATTTGGCATAGGGCCCGGCGTCCTACCCTAAACTACCGTGCCTCACAACTATTCGGGAACGAGCCCGGTGTCCTACCACTAGCCTACCGTGCCTCACAACCTTTCGGTAACGAGCCCGTGGTCCTACCCTAGACTACCATGCCTCACAACTATTCGGTAACGAGCTCGGCGTCCTACCCTAGAAAACCGTGCCTCACAACCCTTCGGTAACGAGCCCAGCGTCCTTCCCTAGACTACCGTGCCTCACAACTAATCGGTAACAAGCCCGGCGTCCTACCTTAGACTACCGTGCCTGCCTTCGGTAACGAGCCTGGCGACCTACCCTAGACTACCGTACCTCATAACCATTCGGTAATGAGCCCAGTGTCCTACCCCTAGACTACCGTGCCTCACAACTATTCGGTAACGAGCCGGGCGTCCTACCACTAGGCTACCGTGCCACACAACTATTCGGTAAGGAGCCCGGCGTCCTACCACTAGACTACCGTGCCTCACAACTATTCGGTAACGAGCCGGACGTCCTACCCCTAGACTACCGTGCCTCACAACTATTCGGTAACGAGCCCGGCGTCCTACCACTAGACTACCGTGCCTGCCTTCGGTAACAAGCCCGGCACTACCGTGCCTCACAACTATTCGGTAACGAGCCCGGCGTCCTACCACTAGACTACTGTGCCTCATAACTATTGGGTCACGAGCCCGTTGTCCTACCACTAGACTACCGTGCGTCACAACCCTTCGGTAAAGAGTCTGGCGTCCTATTCTAGACTACCGTGCCTCCAATCAAAATTGCAAAAAAACTTGTTCAGGCAAGATAAAATTATGTTAGGAAATTCAACGGCTTCTGTAGAAAAAATATAAACGACCTCACATAAAGGATTATTTGAAGTAACAGCTAATCGTTATATAAGCGCAAATAAATGTAATGTTATGCAATTATCTTAAGTGTTTCCATTGAGACAGATATTTATGCAAGCGACAATACTGATTCTAGAATATAAGAATGTGTTATGAATGTTTTACTCTACTTTCTGTAAGGGAAATAGCAATGTCAAACCTATTTACATAATCAATTCCAATTTCAATTCAACATCAAAACTCGGAACATTTTCTCGTTATCATTGTTAGCTAAAATACAAGTTTAGATTAAACGTTATTCCTTACCAAAATGGAATTGATCCAAACAAAAATACTGCAAATAGAGTCATTAGAAAAAGTGATTTCAATGTATATGTGCCTTATCCGGAAAGAACATGATACGTTTCCGATAAACTGCCACAAAATGCTCATTCATATTTTGTATATTCCTTAGACAATCCCAGGAAATGCTGTTTTAAGAGGTCCTTTTTGTTTGTTTGTGCTTTACGTCCTATTAAAAGCCATGGTCATTTAAGGACGTGCCAGGTTGTGGTGGTTGAGGAAAGCCGGAGAAAAACCAGTGACCTACGGTCAGTACCTGGCGACTGCCCCAAGAAGGTCTCGAACCCTTGACCCAGTGGTGAAGGGCTAGTGGAAGCAGAATGCCAGACGCCTTCACCACTTGGCCGCCGCGGCCCCTTCAAGATGTACTCTTTAATTACTTGCATATATTTACCTTATATTAAAACTTACCTTTGAACACTGCCCTTTGCATATCTGCACTTTGTAGTCGAAAAAGATTTCGAAGGGCTCGTTGATTGGGTGAAAATTGACAAAGGTACCTTGGACCGCGGTGCCATCATAACGTACGTGCTCCCCGACGATAGGTTCATCAAACAGTTTTAATTTACCGACGTATGTCCGGCACCTACAAAAGAAGTTTGTCATGTTTCAACTGCAGTTACAATATCACAGCATTAGTAATTGATTGTTTTCCTTACGTTAAATACTTTGGTTAGGGATATATAAGCACGCTATTGTTTAACAAAATAACAGTACTCACCTGCCATTCCCAGACCTGCATAGTAACCACCGTGCACATTATCATTTTGCCACTTCGTGCAAAGCAAAATTTAGCCAGAGAGTTAAAAAAGAAAACACCGAAAGATAAACTTTGAATTTTAAATAATTAGTCCTGTACTTAAGTTTTGGGAAATCAGGAAAAGTAAGTGAAGTGTATATAGTTTCATTCAATATTTGTAACATTGTCACAGGTCTGCATATTGATGACTAATATCTTAATTTCTTGAAACTTTATGCACTTTGCGTTAATCTCCCATGCGGTTTATGTACAAGGGTGTTCATGTTTTTTGTATGTACCTTATAACCCTTAAACAACCTTAATTATTACGTATAATTTACGACACTTTCAATTTGAAGGTAATGAACATCTGAAATAATACGTTATAAAACAATTCCTGTTTCAAAAAACACAATAATGCGTTTTAACTTCGACCAATCAAAAACTGGAATGACAAATATCGCGGTATACGGCATGATCACGTTTTGTGTTGTCATTTGTTTAGCCGATACAATATAAATCCCCCAAAAGGCTAGGAATAGCTAAAGACATGTATTAACTTACCCAGCTTTGATAAGGGTATTGAGCTTCTCCCCAGTCCAGACATTGTACATATGCAGTTCTTTCACTAGAACTTCATAGTCTGTTTTATTAGCTACAACAGGAAATCAGTCTTGTGAGTCTCGTGTCAAAAATATATTCCATAGATTCTTCTTTTAAACTATTACAATACAAAATGAATTATTTAGTTTTATGCATTTAAGGACCAAAATTATATTCTAGTTTTAATGTTTTGGTGATATATGAAAAAAAATATTCATTTTTTAATAAAAGTAGATTAAAATTGTATACTTTTTAAGTACATACTTACAGAAAAACACTAGGAAAAATTCTTTACTCATGGTGGTTTTGGCACCGCTCTGTATAGGATGATTCAAATAGTCCAAGATGTCAACATCAAACAGCTTGTAGTCTTCCTTTGGCTTGGTAGAGCCATTAGCACTTCAAGGTAATTGAAAGGGTATTTTAAGAATGCTTCGAACAGTTTTGGGTGTAAATACAATAGGCCGTCGGCTTAAGTTTCTTCGACTCAATGTTAGTGAGTTTTCCCTCCATTGCCTCATTTAAATTCACCATCTAACCAATCAAAACTGGAAGTTGTACCAGGTTTCATTTTAGAAAGTCAGTAGTTTACGTTTTGGTTGAGAAAAAACGGAACGATCAACGGCAAACATATGCAATAATCAGGAAAACCCCATATGACTATTGGTATCATCTTGTAATCTAAAGACTGGTCTATTTTACCAATTTCACATCGAAAAAAAGGAAATATTTTCTTCTTGTAAAACAAATATAAAATAGCGAAAATGAATAAGAGGGCCTGGATTACATTGCGTGAACTTAATATAACGATAAAAAATTAAATCAGCTAAAAATAATAGTTTCCTTCTGATTCATAGCAATTTGTTGTTCTGTGGAATAAAGGCATGTGTTTTTCGCGTTGCAATCTCATGTTCACGGACAGACGCCGTATACTGATGGTAACGGCAAAGTGTTATCTGGAGTATAGGAAATATAAATCTGAATAACTATTGATGATCAAAGCAACAAATGATCAATTTAATTGACAAAATAAAATAACTAAGAAACGCCTGTAAGTATAATATTAGGGCTTGGAGAACTTGTTAAAAGTATATATGGATTATGATATATTTCGTCTTTAAAATAATACATACCTCCGTTCATAGGTACAAATAAACTCTGTTACCCAGTCCAGAGGCGAAAAAATCTGTTTCCTACGCTTCACAGACATAGACATAGTGTAGGAGAACATCCCAGGCTGAAATAATAATGCATTCAGTAAAAAAATGATAGCTGTTTTCAACTATGATCTGTGTTCTCAAGTGTGATAGGTATTCTCAATATGATCTTTGTTCTCAATATGATCGATGTTCTCAAGTATGATCTGTGTTCTTAAGTATGATCTGTGTTCTCAAGTATGATCTGTGTTCTTAAGTATGATCTGTGTTCTCAAGTATGATCTGTGTTCTCAAGTATGATAGGTGTTCTCAATTATGATCGGTGTTCTCAAGTATGATAGGTGTTCTCAAGTATGACAAGTGTTCTCAAGTATGATCTGTGTTCTCAAGTATGATCGGGGTTAACAAGTATGATAGATGTTCTCAAATCTAGTCTGTGTTCTCAAGTGTGATAGGTGTTTTCAAGTATGATTGGTGTTCTCAAGTATGATTTTTGTTCTCAAGTATGATATGTGTTCTCAGTTATGATCTGTGTTCTCAAGTATGATCGCTGTTCTCAAGTATAATTTGCGTTCTCAAGTGTGATAGGTGTTTACAAGTATGATCTGTGTTCTCCAGTATGATATGTGTTCTCAAGGATAATCTATGATCTCAAGTGTGATAGGTGTTCTCAAGTATAATCTGTGTTTTCAAGTATGATAGGTCTTCTCAAGTATGATAGGTATTCTCAAGTATGATCGGTGTTCTCAAGTATGATCTGTGTTCTCAAGTATGATCTGTGTTCTCAAGTATGATCGTTGTTAACAAGTTGGATCGGTGTTCTCAAGTAAGATTGGTGCTCTCAAGTACGATCAGTGTTCTCAAGTATGATAGGTGTTCTCAAGTATGATAGGTGTTCTCAAGTATGATCGGTGTTCTCAAGTATGATATGTGTTCTCAAGTATGATCGTTGTTCTCAAGTATGATCGGTATTCTCAAGTATGACCTGTGTTCCCAGGGATGATCTATTTTATCTAGTTTGAAATGTGTTCTCATGTTGGATAGGTGTTCTCAGGTATGACAAGTATTCTCAAGTATGATGTTGTTCTCAAGGATGATCGTTGTTCACAAGTATAATATGTGTTCTCAAGTATGATAGATGTTCTCAAGTATGATGTGTGTTCTCAAGTATAACGTGTGTTCTCAAGTATAACGTGTGTTCTCAAGTATGATAGATGTTCTCAAGTATGATCGCTGTTCTTAAGTATGACCTGTGTTCTCATGTATGATCGTTGTTCTCAAATATGATTGGTGTTCTTAAAATTTGATTTGTGTTTTTAAGTTAAGATCTATGTTTTCAAGTATGATCGGTGTTCTCAAGTATAATATGTGTTCTCAAGTATGAGAGATGTTCTCAAGTATGATAGGTGTTCTCAAGTATAACGTGTGTTCTCAAGTATGATAGATGTTCTCAAGTATGATCGTTGTTCTCAAGTATGATCGGTGTTCTCAAGTATAATATGTGTTCTCAAGTATGATAGATGTTCTCAAGTATGATGTGTGTTCTCAAGTATAACGTGTGTTCTCAAGTATGATAGATGTTCTCAAGTATGATCGGTGTTCTCAAGTATGATAGATGTTCTCAAGTAGGATCTGTGTTCTCAAATATGATCTGTGTTCTCAAGTATGATCGGTGTTCTCAAGTATTATCGATGTTCTCAAGAATGATAGATGTTCTCAAGTATGATCTGTGTTTTCAAGTGTGATAGGTGATATTTGATTTCAAATATGATAGTTGTTCTCAAGTAAGATCTGTGTTCCAAAGTAGGATCTGTTTTCTCAAGTATGATCGGTGTTCTCAAGGATGATCGGTGTTCTCAAGTATAATCTGTGTTCTCAAGTGTGATAGGTGTTCAAAGTATCAATTGTGTTCTCAAATATACTCTGTGTTCTCAAATAAGATATGTGTTCTCATATATGATAGGGGTTCTCAAGTATGATCGATGTTCTCAAGTATGATCGGTGTTCTCAAGTATGATAGATGTTCTCAAGTATGATCGGTGTTCTCAAGTATGACCTGTGTTCTCATGTATGATCGTTGTTCTCAAATATGATTGGTGTTCTTAAAATTTGATTTGTGTTTTCAAGTTAAGATCTATGTTCTCAAGTATGATCGGTGTTCTCAAGTATGATCGGTGTTCTCAAGTATAACGTGTGTTCTCAAGTATGATCGGTATTCTCAAGTATGACCTGTGTTCTCAAGCATGATAGATGTTCTCAAGTATGATGTGTGTTCTCAAGTATGATTGATGTTATTAAGTATGATGTGTGTTCTCAAGTATGATGTGTGTTCTCAAGTATGATAGATGTTCTCAAGTATGATCGGTGTTCTCAAGTATGATCGGTGTTCTCAAGTATGATAGATGTTCTCAAGTATGATGTTTGTTCTCAAGTATGATCGGTGTTCTCAAGTATAATATGTGTTCTCAAGTATGATAGATGTTCTCAAGTATGATGTGTGTTCTCAAGTATGATGTGTGTTCTCAAGTATGATAGATGTTCTCAAGTATGATCGGTGTTCTCAAGTATGATCGGTGTTCTCAAGTATGATAGATGTTCTCAAGTATGATGTTTGTTCTCAAGTATGATCGGTGTTCTCAAGTATAATATGTGTTCTCAAGTATGATAGATGTTCTCAAGTATGATGTGTGTTCTCAAGTATGATGTGTGTTCTCAAGTATGATAGATGTTCTCAAGTATGATCGGTGTTCTCAAGTATGATCGGTGTTCTCAAGTATGATAGATGTTCTCAAGTATGATGTTTGTTCTCAAGTATGATCGGTGTTCTCAAGTATAATATGTGTTCTCAAGTATGATAGATGTTCTCAAGTATGATGTGTGTTCTCAAGTATGATGTGTGTTCTCAAGTATGATAGATGTTCTCAAGTATGATCGGTGTTCTCAAGTATGATCGGTGTTCTCAAGTATGATAGATGTTCTCAAGTATGATGTTTGTTCTCAAGTATGATCGGTGTTCTCAAGTATAATATGTGTTCTCAAGTATGATAGATGTTCTCAAGTATGATGTGTGTTCTCAAGTATGATGTGTGTTCTCAAGTATGATAGATGTTCTCAAGTATGATCGGTGTTCTCAAGTATGATCGGTGTTCTCAAGTATGATAGATGTTCTCAAGTATGATGTTTGTTCTCAAGTATGATCGGTGTTCTCAAGTATAATATGTGTTCTCAAGTATGATAGATGTTCTCAAGTATGATGTGTGTTCTCAAGTATAACGTGTGTTCTCAAGTATGATAGATGTTCTCAAGTATGATCGGTGTTCTCAAGTATGATAGATGTTCTCAAGTAGGATCTGTGTTCTCAAATATGATCTGTGTTCTCAAGTATGATCGGTGTTCTCAAGTATTATCGATGTTCTCAAGAATGATAGATGTTCTCAAGTATGATCTGTGTTTTCAAGTGTGATAGGTGATATTTGATTTCAAATATGATAGTTGTTCTCAAGTAAGATCTGTGTTCCAAAGTAGGATCTGTTTTCTCAAGTATGATCGGTGTTCTCAAGGATGATCGGTGTTCTCAAGTATAATCTGTGTTCTCAAGTGTGATAGGTGTTCAAAGTATCAATTGTGTTCTCAAATATACTCTGTGTTCTCAAATAAGATATGTGTTCTCATATATGATAGGTGTTCTCAAGTATGATCGATGTTCTCAAGTATGATCGGTGTTCTCAAGTATGATAGATGTTCTCAAGTATGATCGGTGTTCTCAAGTATGACCTGTGTTCTCATGTATGATCGTTGTTCTCAAATATGATTGGTGTTCTTAAAATTTGATTTGTGTTTTCAAGTTAAGATCTATGTTCTCAAGTATGATCGGTGTTCTCAAGTATGATCGGTGTTCTCAAGTATAACGTGTGTTCTCAAGTATGATCGGTATTCTCAAGTATGACCTGTGTTCTCAAGCATGATAGATGTTCTCAAGTATGATGTGTGTTCTCAAGTATGATTGATGTTATTAAGTATGAATTGTGTTCTCAAGTATGATGTGTGTTCTCAAGTATGATAGATGTTCTCAAGTATGATCGGTGTTCTCAAGTATGATCGGTGTTCTCAAGTATGATAGATGTTCTCAAGTATGATGTTTGTTCTCAAGTATGATCGGTGTTCTCAAGTATAATATGTGTTCTCAAGTATGATAGATGTTCTCAAGTATGATGTGTGTTCTCAAGTATAACGTGTGTTCTCAAGTATGATAGATGTTCTCAAGTATGATCGGTGTTCTCAAGTATGATAGATGTTCTCAAGTAGGATCTGTGTTCTCAAATATGATCTGTGTTCTCAAGTATGATCGGTGTTCTCAAGTATTATCGATGTTCTCAAGAATGATAGATGTTCTCAAGTATGATCTGTGTTTTCAAGTGTGATAGGTGTTATCAATTGTGATAGTTGTTCTCAAATATGATTGGTGTTCTCAAGTACGATCTGTGTTCTCAAGTATGTTCTGTGTTCTCAAGTATGATATTTGATTTCAAATATGATAGTTGTTCTCAAGTAAGATCTGTGTTCCAAAGTAGGATCTGTTTTCTCAAGTATGATCGGTGTTCTCAAGGATGATCGGTGTTCTCAAGTATAATCTGTGTTCTCAAGTGTGATAGGTGTTCAAAATATCAATTGTGTTCTCAAATATACTCTGTGTTCTCAAATAAGATATGTGTTCTCATATATGATAGGGGTTCTCAAGTATGATCGATGTTCTCAAGTATGATCTCTGTTAACAAGTATGATCTGTGTTCTCAAGTATGATTTGTGTTCTCAGGTATGATACTTGTTTTTATCGGTGTTCTCAAATATGATCGATGTATTCAAGTGTGACAGGTGTTCTCAAGTACGATATGTGTTTTCAACTGTGATAGGTGTTCCTTAGAAGGACAAGTACAATCGGTGTTCTCAAGTAGGATCGGTGTTCTCAAGTACGATCGGTGTTCTCAAGTATGATTGATGTTATTAAGTATGATATGTGTTCTCAATTGTGATAGGTGCTTTCAAGTATGATAGGTGTTCTCAAGTATGATCTGTGTTCTCAAGTATGATCGGTATTCTCATGTATGATCTGTGTTTTCAAGTATGATCGGTGTTCTCACGTTTGAAAGGTTTTCCAAAGTAGGATCGGTGTTCTCAAGAATGATCGGTGTTTTTTTAAGAATGATCGATGTTATTAAGTATGATCTGTGTTTTCAAGTATGATCGCTGTTCTCAAGTATAATAGGTGTTCTCAAGTATGATCTGTGTTCTCAAGTATGATGTGTGTTTTCAAGTAGGATATGTATTCTCAAGTATAATAGGTGTTCTCAAGTGTGATAGGTATTCTCAAGTATGATGGGTGTTCTCAAGTATGATCGATGTTCTCAAGTATGATGTGTTCCTAAGTATGATAGGTGTTCTCAAATATGATTGATGATATTAAGTATGATAGGTGTTCTCAAGTATGATAGGTGTTCTCAAGTATGATCGGTATTCTCAAGTATGATCGGTATTCTCAAGTATGATCTGTGTTTTCAAGTATGATCGATGTTCTCAATTGTGATAGTTGTTTCAAGTAAGATAGGTGTTATCAAATATGAAGGATGTTCTAAAAAAGGATCTGTGTTCTCAAGTAGGATCGGTGTTCTCAAGTATGATCTGTGTTTTCAAGTACAATCGGTGTTCTCAAGTATGATAGTTGTTATCAACTATTTTAGGTGTTCTCAAGTGTGATAAGAGTTATCATGTATGATCGATGTTCTCAATTGTGATAGTTGTTTTCAAGTAAGGTAGGTGTTATCAAATATGAAGGGTGTTCCAAAAAAGGATCGGTGTTCTCAAGTATGATCTGTGTTTTCAAATACGATCTGTGTTCTCAAGTATGAAAGGTGTTCTCAAGTGTGATCGATGTTCTTAAGTATGATATGTGTTATCAATTGTGATCGGTGTTCTCAAGTATTATCGATGTTCTCAAGTATGAAAGGTGTTCTCAAGTAGGATATGTATTCTCAAGTATAATAGGTGTTCTCAAGTATGATGGGTGTTCTCAGGTATGATGGGTGTTCTCAAGTATGATCGATGTTCTCAAGTATGATGTGTTCTCAAGTATGATGTGTGTTCTCAAGTATGAAAGGTGTTTCTAATTAGGATCTGTGTTTTCAAGTGTAATCTGTGTTCTCGAGTGTGATCGATGTTCTCAAGTATGATATGTATTCTCAAGTAAGAAAGTTGTTCTCAAGTAGGTTGATATTCTCAAGTAGGATAGGTGTTCTCAAGTACGATCGATGTTCTCAAGTATGATCGGTGTTCTCAAGTGTGATAGTTGTTCTAAAGTATGATATGTATTCTCATTTATTATAGGTGTTCTCAAGTTTGATATGTGTTCTCAAGTAAGAAAGTTGTTCTCAAGTAGGTTGATATTCTCAAGTAGGATAGGTGTTCTCAAGTACGATCGATGTTCTCAAGTATGATCGGTGTTCTCAAGTGTGATAGTTGTTCTAAAGTATGATCTGTATTCTCATTTATTATAGGTGTTCTCAAGTTTGATATGTGTTCCTAAGTAGGATCGGTGTTCTCAAGTCTGATCGGTGTTCTCAAGTATGAATTGTGTTATCAAGTATGAAAGGTGTTCTCAAGTCTGATCTGTGTTCTCAAGTCTGATCGGTGTTCTCATGTATGAATTGTGTTATCAAGTATGAAAGGTGTTCTCATATAGGATCTGTGTTCTCAAGTACGGTATTTGTTCTCAAGTATGATTGGTGATCTCAAATATGATCGGTGTTCTCAAGTATTTCCTAACTTTTTAAAGAAAGATAAGGATGTAGAAGGCGGGTTGTGGTAAAGACGTACCCCAAGATGTTCTCGTTGGTATACGTCACACGGAGTACCAGGGTTTGGTACCATTGGGAAGCTCCGTTTGTATACATACTCTCCTGGTCGCGAGGGCACCTTTGAAAGACCGCATTCATCGGCTCCCCGCAGACTGATGTCACGTTTGCCCGGGGTGGCCATTGTCACGTCCATGCTAAACATGTTACACGAAATCGTTTCTGAAAATTAAACCAATTAAACATTGGAAATATTTTATATTCCCAACGGAATATGATTCCTTCCTTGTTATTCGTATTTGGTCACTCAACCATCATCTTGTACTTCGACATTGTTCATTTCACTTTGATAACATGTATTTGCCTTATTTTCAATAATTGTAACCCACACATATCAAACAGAAGTTTTAATATGTGACGTTTCATATTTGTTTTAGTTTTAATGTTGAATATCGCAACCAAGCTGCACGCGTTTATAACTACATTTTCCAAAACAGTTAATGGCGATAAATGGATGTTTTGAAATTATTCACCTGACATATTTCGTAACACAGACCATAAATATAATGAACATTTGCGAATGCCGTAATAAATACCGACTGTCGTCTAAGGTCCCTATTTTATCATTCCTATCAGTCTGTCCCGCTGTTACGATGTACTACCCTGGCTCCTGTTGTGGGGACGTGAATTGGATTGAATATCTGTTCAAATAGCATGGTGTGTGTCGTCAATAAAACAAAAGGCACTTAACATTTTGTAATATTAACTCTGTATTTTGTCAATGTTCAATGTGTAAAGCGTTCTTTCGTTCATACTATTTCCAATAGTCTTAGTTCGAATGACGACTTTATTTACACTTAGCAATGATCTTTTCGGATTGGAAACTTAACTTACATTCAACAGAACAATACCGTGAGTAGGCTGACGCAAATATTTTTTTCGGAAATTCACCATAGATTCAATTTCATGATTATATTTATTTATGTTTATGAAAAAGTCACAACTAATATAAATATTTAGAATTAATAGTGAACATAAAACTGTACTCATCTTACTCATAAAAAGTTACACAATTTAGGAAAATGCAAAAAAATGCACACTTGCATATAAACATAAAATATACTGTGCCGCAGGACAAAACTGGCATTTCTTATTTTTCTTGCATAGCAAAACTTATTAACTTTCACTGAGTGTCACATGAAGGGCGTGGAATGTGTCTAATATGTAAAATAAAAAAATAAAAAATAATTTTGTGACGTGCCATTGTTTCACAATGTCAGGAATGCCAAAAAGAACAAAATGATGATATTTCAGATCAAATTTTGTCAGTCTTCTTCTGTTACATGGCGTACAATCATTGTGTGTTCATACTACTAAGACGCCATGGATCTTTATCTATTAAGATAAAAGCATCGTTATCTATTAAGATAAAAGCACGTTTGTTGCGTAAAAAAATGACCTCCAACGCTGTCGTACATATCGTGGCCATTTGTTGAATTCTGCTATCGTTTTATCTTGTGATTTCGCTTATTAATTAAAATTACGTAAACATGGCTGCAACCCTGCACCATTCTGGATAATATCATGTAGCAGTCGGTCAAAGGCTTCGCAGGCTTATAGTTGACATAAGCCTAATTCATTCGAATCATATATCTAATCCTACCAGTATGCTGTCTTATAATATGTTTGCTTTTTTTTTACTTCAATTTTAACCTCAGTTTAACGTCAGAATGTTGCACGGTAAATTGAAGCGATCGATATCTAACTGTTTATGCAGAAATATGTGTTGCTTATATAAACTGGGTTTCAATTATTTGATACACCAATGTTGACATTGACCATATAATGTTGACATTAATACACTTGTGTTGACATTGATACACTTATGTTACCATTGATAGACCTATGTTGACATTGATACACTTGTGCTACCATTGATAGACTTATGTTGACATTGATACACTTGTGTTGACATTGATAGACCTATGTTGATATTGAAACAATACTATTTACATTGAAACACCTATGTTGACATAGATAGACCTATGTTGATATTGATACAATAATGTTAACATTGATAGACTTATGTTGACATTGATACACTTGTGTTGACATTGATACAATACTATTTACATTAATACACTTATAATGACATTGATACCCTTGTGTTGACATTGATACACTTATTTTGACATTGATAGACTTATGTTGACATTGATACAATAATGTTAACATTGATAGACTACTGTTAACATTGATACACCTATGTTGACATTGATACACTACTGTTAACATTGATACACCTATGTTGACAATGATACAATAATGTTAACATTGGTAGACTTATGTTGACATTGATACACTTATGTTGACATCGATACAATAAGGTTAACATCGATACACTTGTGTTGACATCGATACAATAATGTAAACATTGATACACTTATTTTGACATTGATACACTTATGTTTACACACATAAACTGATATTTGATTTGATGCTTACCGTTCTTTTTTTCACAGTTGTCACCGTAATAGCCAAATTGACAATAACACAATCCATTCATGACACAAATCCCGTGATTGCTACACCTTTTGCGACAGTTTACATACTCTGGAAAATAAAATCAAAATCCTTCATATTATAACCTCAATACACAATATTGGAGCCGATACATACAAAAAGCATCAGAAACATGTTCCGATTACAACAGCAGACAATACAAACACCCAAACTACCGCCGCAGTCCTCATTGATGTAAACGGAATACCAAACTTGAGCGAAATTACACATTACCCGAATTTCGATCGTTTTACGACTGCGGCAAAAATTAATGAATAATGTAGGTTGTCAAAACACACAATTTAGATCAAAATTTTTGATAAAACGTTACATATTACAGATTAAGTTGTAGTTTATCTTCAAGATAAAGGAATAGTTCAAATGTAAAATAAAAAGAAATAATGTGTTTTTAACATACTGTGCGACTACAAGAACTTACTTTGAGGGGCCCGACAGTCATAGCCTCCCCAACCTCTGTCACATTTACATGTCCTGTCTGCTGTACAGTTTCCTTTGTTCATACAGATAAAACCAGGCCGCTGACAGTAGCTATATGCTGGGGGAAAACAAGATAACCAATAATTATCTTGAACATATATGATAAAAATGTGTTCTTGAAAATATATGTTGCCATAACAGAAACAGTGTAACCATAAACACTTTGTATAGACGAGGTAATGAAAGTGTTTAAATATCACGTAAAATATTGTACTACAGTGTGGGTGTACTATTGCTAGATCCTTTACCATCGTAGATTTAAATAAAAGAAACAGTTTTACTTACCGTACATAACAAAGGCGAGGAATGTTAGAGCCTGGAGCAACACCACGTGATTCTGGATCTTTGAAAGCAAAACAATTATTAGAAGGGGTAAACAACAATGTTATACCTTTGGCCAATTTTTTGTTAAATTTTATGCTTAATTTCTGACAATAAAATATGTTTAAATGAATGAAAGAGTATTTCGTCAAATGTGATATGCATGTTTGATAACTCAAAGATAAAACCCGTCGGTGAACAAGTTAAGGATATCAAGGAGGCATATTTCGTACATATATCTAAATAGTAGATTCAGTCAGATGTCTTTGTATACCATACTTATCAGAATTTTGTTATTATATCCAGGAAAGGTGAGGTCACAAGACCGAGCAAATTACACCAATCCATTGGTGGGATTTTAATTGTCAGTATAAAGAATAGGCCCTGCCAGGTATTTCATACCCCAGGTACAATCATACCTTTTCTGTCTTTTTAAACAATTTTGTCAGGTTGGTAAGTATGGATTATGAAAAAAAGATTCTTGTAACAAACTAATAAGAGTTTCAATGGGACGTTTCTACTACTAGTACGGTATGTACACTGTCACCGTCATCAGACAAAAACATCACATAGAAACACGTATTGGCTGTGTAACAAGAATCTTTTCATAATATCTTTTCTGTCGAATTTGTGATACGAGACGTTATTGTGTGTCCACTTTTAGATACTTTTTATTTTACTAAACTAACTTATAAATGATAGCAAATTGTTATTCTTATGTAAGACATAACATTCTGCTGTTACTGATGACCTGTTACAAAACTGTAACGGAATAGGTGTGGACAATATCTATATCCGAAGACTATCTCTACGCATCAAGGAAGGGCCACGTACAGTGTACATGACGATGTCACTACATCCATCTTCTGTTACTCAAATAATGACTATAGTGTGATACATAAAATACTAGGTAATACATGTAAAAAGGATAGATTGCGTTCATTGCATTGTAAGTTATATCTACATTGCACCCGATATCTGTTACTACCCTTATTATTGTAGATGTGATTCTTACGTCAGTAATTGTGTCAAGAAAACGATTCGTGCATGACAATATCTGTACATCTAATGTATTTTACTTTAGTACCAAATATAGGTTTGTACTTAACTTATATAAATGTGCAAGAGATGGACACGTACTTGATTGTCCAGTAACATCTAGTTTTCGTAGCTCTAGTACCAAATATAATTCTGTACCGTACTGGTACATGTATGGACGAGACACGTACGTGATATCCACCTACATCCAGTGTCCATGCTAAAGGACAACAAGACATATGAACAGATGCAGACCAGTCTGACGGAAAATTTTAAAAGGCCTCTCATAGCCTTCCTGTCAAAACTAAAACAAGAGAGCAGGACTACGGATGGTCAATACAGATATCTGTATACCACAGCAGAGAACACCCCTAGAATGTACTGTACACCCAAGATCCACAAGCAGGGAAACCCACTGAGGTATATTTTTGACTACACTGGATCCATTGGTTACAATGTTTCCAGATCATTAGCAGACATTCTAGGACCTCGAGTGGGTAAATCGGAACACAATGCAAAGAAAACTGGAACATCTAGCGGAAGCTATGTCTACCATCAGGATTTAGAAAGACGAAGAATTCTTTTCACATGATGTTGTCATTCTCTTTACTAACACTCCCATTAACGACGCACTTAGAATCATTCGGAAACGCTTAGAATTAGACAGATCCTGGCGCAAAAACACAAACATCCAGATTCAGGACATCATGACTTTGGGTAGTCCAGTGTCTCCCATTGTGGCCAATTTGTTCATGGAACATCTGGAGCAAAAAGCAATAGCAACTGCCCCAATAGAATGCAAGCCTAGCTTATGGAAACAGAAGGATTTGACCACACATATCAACACCATAAAAGCCACTACCAACATCAAATGTACATGTGAGGAAGAAACCAACGGCACAATGCCTAGACAGTCTCCTGGTAAAGAAAGAAGACGGAACCGTGAAGGTATTGGTCTATAGAAAATATCCATACGGACCAATACCTGAACTTCAAATCTCACCATACTTTGCACCAGCAGTTATGCGTCGTACGCACATTGCTCAACAGATGTGAAACAATAGTCACAGAACAACAGGACAAAACCCAAGAGCAGAATAACATCGCTAGGCTAATGAGAACATGTGCATATATGAAAGGGCCCTAAAACGGGTACACCACAGTGTCAAAGTAAGGGTAAGAATACAAAAAAGACCAATCAAGGATAAGAACAAAACCAAAGATCAAGTGGTCATCCCGTATATAAAGGATATATCCGAAACCAACCAGAGTATCCGTCTTGGTAAACACCGAAAAAGGAAGGAAATTCACCAAATGGAAAAGGAAGCAGTCGGAGTCCCAGATAAATAAATCAGCAATCACATACCATGCCATACAGACAAATCATGTGATTGAGTGGGATAACTCCAAAGTTTTGGACAGAGAGAGCAATCTGTTCAAGCGGCAGATAAAGGAAGCCATCTGGATTCGCCGCAGAGAGCCAGTTCTAAATCGAGACGAGGGGGCTAACAAACTCTCGCACATATATGACCAAGTATTAAACAAAGCGTAGCTAAATCGAGTCATTTCGGTACATATATAACAACTATTGTACATACGCTCACAGCGTAGCCGAAATCGACACCGATTGTGTGGACAAGTCGTACACATTTTACACCTTTGTGTGCAAACGTTTAACTGGTCATTCGTCTAATTAATGTGACAGTGTACATATCATACAAGTCAGCGAAACGTCACATAGACAAGTTATTGGTTGTGTAAAAAAAATCATAATCTATACTTACCAACCTGAAAAAAATGTTTAGATACATCCAATGTCTTTTACTCTAGTACCAAATATTAGTATATGCAGTACTTGTATAAATGTGTTATGGAAGGGACAACTACTTGAGATCCCATTTACATCCAGTGTCTTTTACTCTTACACCAAATTAATTCTTTAAAGTGCCCGTATACATATGTAAAGTAAAGGAAACTTCGTGATATACCTCCTACATCCAGTGTCGTTTACTTAAGTACCAAATATCATTCGGTAAAGTACTTGTATAAATATGTAAAGTAAGGGACACTACGTGATATTCCTCCTACATCCAGTGTTGTTTACTCTTGTACCAAATATCATTCGGTAAGGTACTTGTATACATATATAAAGTAAGGGACACTACGTGATATTCCTCCTACATCCAGTGTTGTTTACTCTTGTACCAAATATACTTTGGTAAAGGACTTGTATACATATGTAAAGTAAGGGACCCTACGTGATATTCCTCCTACATCAAGTGTTGTTTACTTAAGTACCAAATATACTTTGGTAAAGGACTTGTATTAATATGTAAAGTTAGGGACACTACGTGATATTCCTCCTATATCCAGTGTCTTTTACTCTAATACCAAATTAATTCTTTAAAGTACCCGTATACATATGTAAAGTAAGGGACACTACGTGATATTCCTCCTACATCCAGTGTTGTTTACTCTTGTACCAAATATCATTCGGTAAAGGACTTGTATACATATGTAAAGTAAGGGACCCTACGTGATATTCCTCCTACATCAAGTGTTGTTTATTCTAGTACCAAATATACTTTGGTAAAGGACTTGTATTAATATGTAAAGTTAGGGACACTACGTGATATTCCTCCTACATCCAGTGTTGTTTACTTAAGTACCAAATATAATTTTGTAAAGTACTTGTATACATATGTAAAGTAAGGAACACTACGTGATATTCCTCCTACATCCAGTGTTGTTTACTTAAGTACCAAATATAATTTTGTAAAGTACTTGTATGAATATGTAAAGTAAGGGACACTACGTGATATTCCAGCTACATCTACATCCAATGTCTGTAACACTCGTTCCAACTGTAGTTGTATTCATTGTTTTTACCATTTGAACGAAATTCCTATGTACATTGCTTTGTTATTGGTCTATACATCATGCTAAGCCACACCAGTTGAAGTTTGTATAATATTCATATAAGTGTATAAGCGTAAAAACTCGACACCGTGACTGGTATCTTTATCCCCTGTCGTATTTGTCTCAATGTAGGTATAGAGTAATTAAATTGTCACCCTGAAAAATTAAACCATGCTTCAATTAAGTGTTATGAATGTCTCAACTGCGATGTGTAACTGACAACGACAGACATAGATAGTTGATTTGATGGCGAGTATGTGTATACTGAAATGTACATAGCTGTTTAATTGTTAATGTAATGGTAGCAAAGGGCGTCAGAAGTTGGAAACAATTATGTATATGATTGTATACAGATAGTGTCCTTAATACAATAAGAATTGTGTTTCAGAAAATATCATACAGGACAACCTACTTATCGTGTTGACATTTTAACTACATGTTTGGCTCACAACTAACACCAAAACCATTTATTATGCTTAAGATATTCATCACATTATATGCGCAGTGAAATATTAATTCAAATGAACCCACCATACATCATATCGCGTTGTTTTAAATTCATGCAACGAAGTTATGTCATTTACATCATCACGTGATATGAACAGTAAACGTATTTTACTGTATAGATACGTTAATTAAAACAATAAACCAGCCTTTATCAATATCAGCTAGTTCGAATTGGCATAATGTACATAATTAATATATCAAATCCTCAATGAGATCTGTGTTCTGAGATTAAAGTGGCAGTTTGGGTGAGAAAACAGAGTAAATTTTCATTAATTACTCAGAAATATTCAAATGTAAATCATAATTTTGGTCTGACACTTTGACAGGGGAGGGAGGATCGAGCTGACGGGATGTACGAAGTAATCCCAAAAGTAAATTATTCCTTAGAGATTTTTCAGTCACGGAACATTTATGTAAGTATTCAATTAAGAATGGAGTGACTAACAGTTGAAAGAATTACATAATCTCACGTGCGTTATCACATTTAATACAAGATAATATTTAAGGGTAATAAACAGACATCATAGCAAAAAAGGGAGATACATCATGTCGCTTCATTGATCGTTGAAACATAAATCATATACATCGAAGGTGAAGGCCAGTGACAATGGTCATGATGCTCTCCGCATTATTCGGGAGGTTGCGTTCTGCACTAATCTAGTATAGTATAGGTACAAGCTTGTCTACAATTTCGGAGGAAACATATTTGGAGCAAAGGTAGAAAACACCACCTTATAGTGAATACAAGTCACGGCAGTTGGAGCATCGCAGGTAGCCATTTATGTCGAATTATTTTATCGGCCCATCACACTCGTTTATCGACATATTACGGAGTTAATCGTTTCGTGTAAACGTTGAATTAAATACCAATAATTTTAACATTCTCAAACATATCTAGCATGCATTAAGAGATGAATTAGCTCAAAATGTATCAAATATATTCATTTTCCTTTAATGAATTTAAGCTTTTCATTTATAGTTTGAACATGTGAAAGCATGCACATACATACTAAGCATCATTAGAACAATGACAACACATGCAAACGTGTTATTATCATTGGTAAAAAAGTTAAGCTGTCGACATACACTGATATTTAGTCGATTTCTAGTCTTGTTCCAAAGAACGAACACATGTTGTTCCTAGATTGTATTAGTGTTCTCAATTTAGAAACCCATTTACGTTTTAGACACACCAAGGTAAGCAATTTTGACAAATATCAACTTAAGTGATACCAGGAGATCTGAAATAGGATATTACATACATAGTGCTATTTTTTATAACATTATAACTAAAAACGTTGTTTACTATCATCATCATCATCATCTTAAATGCAGATTAAATGATCAATCGCTTGATTAGTTTTAAATAGTTTGATCATTGATGGGTTGGTAGATAGGAAATAGCGATAATTGTACAAAAGGATGTATATTGTTTTGATTTAGAATTTGATATAATCAGTGATTTACCAATTTCACCTGTTGACGAAATGGTTCAATATCAGTATAAAGGGCACAATACCGTTATTATCAGACGTGTCATAACACCGACTTTGCAGCATCAACTGTGACATATACATTAGCTTCATATTCAGCGCGATGAATCCATATCACCATTTTTCGGCGTTTAGTTCTTAGTATCTACTGACTATATTAGCATGGCACTTAGTCAGTTAAACTCTCAAAAATTCAAAAATTTCTTCGGGATATGCTTCATATATCTTAGCACACCATAACAGTATTACAAGTGTATTATGATTCTCAGTCAGATAGTAATTATCTTAACAATTTGCTAGAGAAAAATGCCATGAAAATGGTAAATTCATTGACTGCAAAGTTGCATATTATTAAACCTAAAATAAGTTTGAACTACACAGAAGATGCTTTCAATAAATCGGCGTAAACCAAAACATCTTAAGTTCCGATTATAGTACAGATAAGACATTGCCGACAACTATACGGGCATATTACTTTATGGTGTATATGCATAGCTATAAGTTACATCATTGGTGATTTTCTGTTACTAATAATGGATCATTTTGATGGAGTGAAAAATTATGCCATAGTACCACTACACTGGTAAAATAAAAATGAGAGTCGCAAGGAAATCATCAAGAACGATCAAACACCAAAACAAAACGAAAAACAATGTGGAATATTTAAATGGATGTAAAAATGCTATGACAAAGAATCTGATCTTATGAAGATTGTATTATGATTATCCCCGTCATATTACTACATGTAAATCCGTATGTATATATAATAATAATAATAATAATAATAATAATAGCCATCCCAATAAAAAAATGATATAACAAATTCCCTTAACACCATTTGTATGTGTGTGGACTGTAATATAAACTGTAAGTAAATAGACTTACCGACATCGTGGACGGCCTGCTGTAATCACGACAATCAGCGGCTCAGTCAGGATGAGCGGAACTGATGTCACTCAGGGGTCAAAAGCTACCAGCCTGCTCTCTTATCATTTCGCCTTACAGGTAGAATACGATAGACATGTGCCTTTACTATGGCATACACATATAGCCTAGGAAGTATGCATTGCTACTTTTAGTTCAAATGCTTTTACATATTTTAAACTTTAATTTTTAAATGATCAAAATCAAAAACAGCTAATTTATAAGACACAAAGTTGTATACCTGTTCAATCACTATAATTATCTTTTTCTTTTGTTAGTTAAAGATACAAAACCAGGGGTATTTGTGTATAATAGACAAATAGATAAATAGTGTTTTAATTATTTGGATATTTCACATATTTCTTTGTTAAGACACTGAGAGTTATAACTTTTTAATCAATATAATCATTTTTTTTGCTGGTTAAAGATGACAAGCATGTGTATTTGTTTATTACTGATTAGTATTATTGTCATTATTTGGATGATGAAATAAAATAATATCCAATATTGTATATATACCAATACATACAGATAAACTGTGAATACCACGTGAATATATACTGTTGGTATGGTTAAACAAATTCCTTTGATTTAGGCTGCTTGATAGGTTAAATATGCTTTTGCAATCGTGTATCAGCCATGTTAAGCAGTCAATGGAGATGTTTTGTTATCATTGTAATCGTTGTTTATACTAGAACTGTATAGCTTTGTTTACAATCGTTATTTGTTCAAAGGGTATTTGGTTATTGCTGTATATGAATTGCTTGCTGAAAAGACCTTTAGCAATTGTTTTCAATGTGTGCTTTATACAAGAGGTATTCAGCTAGAATCATCATCTTTAGCAGGATATCTTAAAATGCACTTGTAATCATTATGCTTTTGAATGTTTCCTATACTTATATTTATTGTTTATGCCAGAGATCTTTTACTATTATGGTAAGCATCACTTTGCTATAATTGTTGTTTGTTCACGAAATTATAAGCGATGTTACAAATCATCACTGTTACAAAAGATATCTAGGTAACTTTGAATCATTATAATAACTGCTTGTTAAAACGATCTTCAGATACAATTGTACCCAATGCCTGTAACGGAGTGATATTTGTTTGTGCACGAAATTTATATAGCTATCTCTGGAACTGGAATTCTAGATGTTCTTTCTATATTTTGAGCTATGGAATTTCGATTACTGTCTATTATATAACACAGGTTATGAAGTGTTATTGCAATCGGGTATAACCTATCCTAACCTTAGTCTTTATAACGGGTTCGCATTTCTTATTTAATGATTATGTATGACATGGTTTGGTAGCGTTTCTACAGCAGGTAATTATGTAAGTTGAAAACATTAATTATGTTATGTCTAACGACTTGCAAATACATGTTTTCGTTTGTCTTTTAATGAATGTTTATTATAAATGTTTCAGCATTGGGTTGGGTCTAGATTCGCCGAATCAAATAACATAATCATAGGCTTACATTGTGTACGTTAATACGTTTCTATTAAAATCAAGCTCGTTAAACATGATATATGCACAACCACTAAACTGTGCAAGGTATCATATACTGCAATAAAAAGGTGAAAACATCGTTGTTGTAAACAAGGTGTGGTCTGTATAATGAAACTTCCTTTGATCCTTTTTTCATGTTATTTCTTATATTGTAATACTTCATGTCAAATTTAATTACTCAAGTATATCACGTGAGCATGGAAACCTAATACAGGTTTATATTTCATTTCAGTATTTGTTTGTTGTTTAGAATTTGTTACAGAACCATACTGAACGTTTTAAATTTATGATATTTTGCTTAACGACCGCTAAAAATCATCATTTCAGTTTCAATTTATATGTTTTTAATATGCAAGCAAACACAAATAGAAGGTGCAAATGCTAACACCTGGACCTACTTGTTCAATATGTGAGTAGAGTAATGCAGTGATTAGCGCAAATTTTAAGTTTGTACATACCTAAAACTCAACATTTTAATAAGTTAAAACTTTCTAGACAGCAAATATATTTGCAAGGTAACATTACACGCAACATTACGGGATTTTACCTTTTATTCTTACCAAATTAAAGGTTAAATAAAGTGATTACGTTAATCACCTTTTGAACAACTGAGGCCTGATAGAACAGTAAACGTACATAAATGATATTACATGTTAATCACTTTTGTGCAAAAAATGAATACGTCCTCATGTCATCCTTTCTTTAATGTTCTGTGCAGATTCGTCTTTAGTTGAAGGTATGCCGAGCACACAAAGCAGGTTACTCACAGCAGATGAAATTTGTCTTAGTGCCATAGTTTACTAAGATTTTCAAACAGGTTGAGGCATCTGCATATGGTTATTGCACATTATATCTAGGTCACTGCTACCGGTATTTATAACTCCAATTTAAAAAAATAAATAAATTTCTTTCAGAGCAACAATTTCCTTGCATTTTCATTCACATTTTCACCAAACTGCACGTGCTGTTACATCCTAGTTGAAAGCTTGTTAAGTATTGTAATCAGGTCAAGGTGATGATTATGTACATCATCGCGTAATTATAAAATATTTCAGAGCCGTACTGCTCATTCGGTTTTATTTGAGGTTTACATGTGCTCCTTTACCTAAGGATATGTCGGGTAACAAGGCTTGAACTCGTTGACCGATATTTTCTGCATTGTTAAACCTTAAAGTAGAACTGACATTTAACCCTGTCTGCAAAGCTCAACTCTTAGTTAACGTAGGCTATCATCAATCAGTTTGATCCACGCCTCTATCATCCTACACCTTACATGTTCTCTATGTGTACTTCAAAAGTAAACAGACTATTCAGTAATATCCATTTTATTTTTGTGACCTTTCAATTGTCACCAGTAAATACTGAAGGGACATCAACAGATGTAGGGTCAGTGTAAAATCTCTTTATTTCCGTGTTTTAAATTATATGCAGTTGTATGACTCTCCTTTTAACAAATAACGTTAGCATTAAGTACTTTGATAGAACCAGGCAACGTTCATTGATGGGATAGAGCACATGCTCTTCCATCCAAACACTACATATGCAGAACACGTGTATTGCGTGTGCTTCACTAGACGATTTCTTGTCTAGCCAATTTCTTCCATCTCTGAAAGTACATTCACTTGTGAACTATGTACGGAATTGCACAAAATAAACAAATCGTTTGAATAGAGAACGTTCAGTATCGTATCAGCGGTCCTTTAGAAACGTTACTTGACACTTACTCAGTGTAACATATGACGTCATCATAGAGTTATATTATTGAATCAAACTATATCAATGGTTGATTTGCACGATATACAGAAAATAATGTATGCATTTTACTGAAACACGTTGAATGTAAATTACAGTTTGTCTGTTCTTTTTATAAATTTATTCTAAATTTGCAAATGTCAAAATTTTGTATTAGCATCGAAAAACTGAGAGTTCATTATATCGTCCTCAATTATATGACAATTACTTATATATTCAAAAGTTGAACAAAATTAGAAATACTAATTTTCGCTTATATAAGTTATAGATACTCATTTTGAGTTACAATTGATAATGTCATAACATTTGATGATTCTGCATTTTCCATGATTAGATGCGATTCACGATGTGATAAATGAAATGACAGCGCACTTCCTTGTGTTAAAGAGTGCATTGCATATTTCAAACGGTTGATTATAACACGTAGTTGATGTCATTCTGAATGCATTCACTTTCATATTTGCAGTGTCATCAGTATGCTTGTGCAGCCATGCATTAATACAGGGTTGATTTCCAATGACTCATTCATGCAATTCATATCATGATTTCCAATGACTTATTCATGCAATTCATATTAGAAATAGTGAGTGTCTATCTACATTATCACGATTTTGAAAGCCACGTCACACTACCAAAATAATGTTTTAAGACAGAACTATCGATGAATCACTGCTAATCATCAAGGAAAGATCAATAATATATTAATTAGAATTGTAATTTAACTCTACATCACGTCATACTTTATTAATAAAACGATTACGATAGTAACTACCTTTGCAATACTTTATTTATTTTAAAAGTATCAATGGCTCGCTTTATACCGCAAAAGTATGCAAGATAAAACTATATATACCAACGCCCACTATTCTTTACAATAAAACGCAAAATAAAACAATAGGTCGTTGTCAATGAAGGCCCATTAAAGGTCGAAAATGACATGAGTTGTGTAAAGTGACCTGCTTTGTGCATGTTAAGCATATTTTCTTCGGTCAAGATCAGTTACAAATGTTATTTTGACATTGTTTGTGTAATGTGTAAAACTGATCATCAAGCAAAGATAAAAATAAAACTCAACGTCGGTACATATACAACAGAGACAGTGACACCCTACCTATGCATGCTGAGCCCTACATAGATTGTTAAAGAAACTAGTTTTGTCAGAAATGGAAGTATTTCGACACCAAAGAGGCACTGATTCTGATGTTTCTCGTCAAATCCAGAAAAAAATGTGTCAATCGTTGGGGACGCTAATGTGTCTAAATTGGAAATCTGGCTGTTTCTATAGAAGGATACTATATTGGTTAGTACCACATATTTCATGTACCTCATATTGGAACGAGCATCTCTAATTTTCCCAGAGCACTGGGTTATATCTTGAAGGAGTTTATTAGTTTTGTTTTGTTTTGTTTAGATACTCCGTCTTTCAAGTCGCACTTCTCGTTTCAACAGCTATTTTCCTCAAGCACTTACGTTCCTGAACAACATTGTTTCTTAAATAGATAGCATGTTGTTTTGTCATCTCCTTAATGTATCGTCCGATTGTACAAGAGTCTAGAGAGATGTGGATTGATGAAGACCACGGAAAAGATTTATAGTTGCCATCACCCGCCATCAGAATACGCTTACCCTCATTGATCGTCTGGTCTTATTCTACATGTCCCTTTTCAATGATGTCCCTGTAATACTTACCTGTTCATATTTTGTAGTCATTTATTCTCTTTGAGTTCGAATAATGGATTAATTTGGTGCATTTGTCTAGCATAGCTATCAAAGTGTCCCGACCCGAATACGTCGACAAGATCTTTAATAATACAAAACCGTCACAGAGCGTTTTCATTTATCACTGTCAACTGTTTACATCAATATGCTTTAGCATTAAAAAAAAAATACAATTTCCACTCTATATTTTATTCTAATGTTATTTATCTGACACAGTAATTAGAAGAAAAACAAATAACCGAATAAGGAGCAAATTAAAGTTGGCACTCTAGTCTCTCACGCAACTTCGTAATATTCCCTTGATTTTTTCGTTAACATGTGAAATTCCACAATTTTCCAAGTGATGTTAGATTTATTTTATTGATTCCGAAATGAATTGTCATGGACAGTGTTTTTGTAGATTATGCAAATATATTACTTAATTGTGCACCGTGTTTAATATTTAAAATATATGCCTGTCTTGTTAGCTGCTGTTTGCCACTAGGTGTGTGGAGTGTTACGTGTATTAACTCAGATGATAAAGGCACTAAAGCAAATGAGTTGAAAAAAAACAAAGGATAACCAAACAATGGGGACCAGCTATACCGGAACGGTGCGTGTTTTCTGCTGCATCGTCAAACCCCAACATGTAAGTGTATATCAAATCAAAATTTGTCATGTTTCCAAAGAAAGAAGCGGAGTAACAACAACGAAAGCGGAAGTGGTCGGTTGGTGCAGTGCATAGCGCACTTGCCTTTCACCAAGGCTGCTGGAGTTCGATTCCCCGGTCGGACGTTACAAGACATGGAGTCACTTACCCGACGACGTTGGTTTTCTTAGAGTACTACGGTTTCCCCCTTCAATAAGACCCCCACCCGCGCTAACATCCGGGCGAACTAGAGTGATTAATATAAGTTGAAATAACTTGTTTTATAATTGTTGTAAAATAAATAAAGATCATTTTTAAAGCATAAAACTAATTAGATTAGGAAAATTGTTGATATTGATATGGCACAGAAAAATGTATTTTTTAACGATGCCGTCAAGATGATTGTGAATATCGAATCAGCTGTGAAAAGCACCTCCGAATGATAATAAAAATCAAGGAAAAGTTTTGATTTGAGGTTTTTATATACCGCTTTATCACAACCTAGTTCGTAGGTCGTCTCAAAGCGGTTCATAAATCATTATTCGTGGTTATAAGACCTTTGCAACCGGCCAATATCTTTCTCAACTGCCCGGTTCTGTTATTCGGCTCTCACAGCTAGCATTCAACAATTCTAGCATTGCCCAACTACGTACTCATTAACTGCCGAGTAGCCTGCAGTTAAAAGAGTAAAGAGTCTTGCTCAAGGAAGAATACAACACAGTGCCGTGACGTGACTTGAACCCGAAAATTGACGTCGCCACTCTGGTAATAGATCTTTTAAGTAAGATAAGATGGAAGATCACGAGTGGATACCTTCCCTTTCCTTAATATTAACATCCACTTCCCCTATCCCATCTACGTTGTTTAAATGTCGCTGTTGATTCGGTAATCAAGAGCTTGCTTCGAATTTCTGTAATTCTGAGATAAATGTAGACTTCTGATGGACCATCTCACATCACAGGTTTCCCATATATCCTGACTTCTGAAGCGTGTGGACAAGTTAAATTGTCGCTATCATGATTTCATTACGAAATATTTTATGTCATTGTTGTGATAAGAAGGCCGACGTTTTTTATTTTACTTATATGTATACCAAGTGGCTGTAATCCCTGCCCCGCGTCTCGCTGTAAGGACGTGAACATAATTTGTTTTGACCTAGATTTACATCCGGGTGTCGTTGAAGAAGCAGAAGAAGCTGCTCATGTTAATATTTCCTTTGTTCATATATCGTCATAGATTATCGATATTGAGTTCGGATTACAGTTGTGCAGACATTGCGGCTATATCGTGTCAGTTTTAAAGACGTCAAAAAATGATTAATGCATATCCTGTCATCTCTGCAATATTCAGACGCTCTCTATTATAAAAATGTCTTGTTACGGCATGAGTTATTGTGTGTCGTAACACGTACACCTTACAAATGTATTATCCACGAAGTAAAATATTCCATGGACCCGCCATTACATTTACAGGGTATGTTCCCCTCATACTCACTATCTTAATCGTTTGTTCCCATTCTTAAACGCTAACCGACGGTAACCATCGTGAAGGATTCCAGTTTTCATTTCTGAGATTTTAAAGTTATATAACCAAATAGATAAGGTTTTGTAACCCTTAAGCTGCAATGTCAATAATGTCAAAAAAAAACCCAACATATCCAGCAGAACCCAATTGTTTTCCTAATGCTGCTTAGACGCCGTAAATAGACACCATATGGTTGACACATGTGCTATTCCGTCTTTGCGTATTGCAGAGTTATCTTCTCTTGAGAGCAGGTATTGATTGTTACGTTATTGGTTTGTGTGAGAAAATTACGTCGTTTTCTCAAAAATTGATGACGTTACTCTCACAAACAAATGACGTAACAATCAATACCTGCTCTCAAGAGAAGATAACTCTGCAATACGCAAAGACGGAATACATTTTATAGATTGAAACGCCATAGTCTTTGGCATGTGTTTTTTATACACTGGTTATCTAACAAATTTGTTTGCTTAAATGTCTACCACACCTTGTGATCAGCCAATATTCGACAACAACAGAGGCCATGCTTACCTTTTATCTTATATGATCAAATATGAGAGAAAACAATTATATGCCTCGTTTAAGAACATGGTTATGTGTCATTCAAACTGTTTAAAGTTTAAAATACTCCATAGATAATTTTGTGATAGAAGTTGTCTTGAAAATATTTCATGAGAAATATAAATGAAATTAGCACTAATATTATGATTTCTGTTACAATCATTACGTTTGGTTTAATCTACATGTCCCATATAAAATGTCATGCCGGTTGTCACTTGTTCAGGGTTTGTTTTATTTTTCTGTTTCTTTGACTGGCTCTCAGTAAAACCCATATTAAGTTATCTTACAAACAAAGCGTTTTTTGTGGACAGTTTCTGTCACTAGTGTCATCCAATTCTGATCCTACAATGGAAATGACGTACGCGTGACAATTGTTTGATTAACGAGGATGCTAGGTGACGTGTTCTATATTCACATACAAAATGTATATGCGTGATGTGGTTGACGGGCCACTGTATCTGATTAGCATAATTGTCTTTCCCTTTTCTCTACTCATATAATATATACAAGTTTTAATTACATGTTTCACAAATAAGGATCCAACATATCTTAAGGTGGATGATAACACTGTCCAAATAGAAGTTTGCGTTTGGCATGGGTTTGAATCTACAGAGAAGCAGTATCAACTTAAATGTGTTGCAAATACAAATCAGGGGGATATAAAAGTATATAGCGAACATTTTAAAACTTCATTTGAGCATGTCACAAGCTATTTGCTTAAAAGCAGTGCCCCAGCGGAGTTTATTTGAGCGTTAACAGCCGAGTTGGTAATCTATTGAAATACAAATTAGTGCAGGTTATTTGATTGAAGTTCGATGTAAACAAACGATGGCCTCTCATGCACATTAATTGTTTATGTCCTTTGATTGGCTAGTAAAAACTTTTAATTTTACATAAAGGCATATTATTATCCTAATATACTTGTCGTGGTATTAGGAATATTTTGTCGTGGTATAAGATGTCAGTATACTTGGATGTAACATGTGCTAGATAAAAGATTGATATTTTATTATCGAAGGCATCCCTGCAGGTCGGGGACTAAGAAAAGAACAGACCTGCTATAACCTTCATCATGTTGAAAAATCGTGGGTTTGCTTTGGGAACACAGTAGTGACCATAATAAATCTATTTCACCAATCGCTACATTTTGGATTATGACATATTCCGTCTATATATAACTTCTTTTTGTTTCCTAGTGCATTTCTTGGCAATACCTCACCTTCGTTTTGTTTTGGTGTTTAATATTCGACCAGGCAAGGAAGGCCATGGGTTCTCGCCCCAAGCAGGGACAATACCGAAATCCTTAAAAATGGTACTTATTAACTGCTTATTGCGATACATTAAGGGTAATCCAAATAACTGTTTAACCCGTTGTTAGCATAAAGTGACCGGACGGGATGTTGTGTTGGGGGCCTTCGGCATGGTATTTCAGTGAAGAAAAGTCGTTATCAGGACCGTACTACATGTATCACAGGCAGGATAATACGCCGCTGTGCAGCACCCGATCTTTAACATACATACACTAATACACGCATACGTTACTCACATTGAGACACGTCCTTTAATGCCTTTAGCGTTTAAAAGACGCTAAACAACATCAAATAAAACCAAACCAATCATTAAAAGTCTAATTTTGTTCCAAGAAGGAAATTCACTCACAACATTAAATATTTATATAAAGAAAAATAACAAAGTGTAATAATATAACATGTTTATTTGGTAAATGCACGAATTTCAGAAATGAAAACATGGTTATTTGTATGCTATTTCTTAAATCAAAAATTTACTTTATAAGCCCCTGGTTCCGTGCAGATCGAAAAACTCTCCCCCTTGTCTGCTGAACGTCTGAAACCAACAACATAATCTTTAGTACATGACACCGATACGGTAACAATTGATATGGCACTTTTTCGTAGAACGCTCTTAAAGGAGTTATTTATAAAAATGATATTTGAAATTTTAACTAGAAATGTAAGTCACAAGTGTGTAAGGTCCACACTCTCAGTTATCGAAGTTTTCAAATGGTCAGCCAAACAGAAGCCATAGCAGCCATTTAAAGCTCTAAATCTTAAAGCCTGCTTGTTTATTTAAAATATAGTTCCCCGATTTATCACTCCAAATAAGCTATGGGTAAAAGCGGTCCAAAAGAATTCGAATGTTTTAACCTTTATTTTCTCAGACAATCAGGGTGACCAATGACACACCTAACCCTAAATGAAAGGTAGTCTTTTACAACAAATAATCCAATACGTACAAGTGTCACTCACATACAGGTTAAAAATTCGGTCCCGTATAAATCAAGTCATAGCCAATATCGTCACAGACAAGTATAGGTACAGGGTCAATGTTTATTTCCAAAATTTTATAATTGGCCGTTTATCATAAAGTTGATATCATAAGTATCATTGCCACAAAGTATCAACAAAGTGAGTTCCATAGATAAAATACCCCCCAAACAAAACAAAAAGGAAAACGTGGCCTGTTTATGTGAAGCATATACTAATTATATCACTGACGATCATTTTCATATACTTCACTAGAAAGGGATGTCTATTTTGGCAAATTTGACTTATAAAGGTTTAAAATTAAGAAGTTCAAGAGATTCAATCAATCTTTTAAGGAATTTCAGAACTAAAACATAAATAACAGGTAGATTTTGTAATAATGTACGCAATTTAATGATGTTTGGATTATGTTTATTATAAAACCTTTCAAATGGTGTACTTAATTAGATGTCCGGACACATGATGTTATCGACAGACAGACAAATGGACAAGCTTAATCCAGTATATCCTTCTTACAACGTTGCTTGGGGGGATGCATCTATTTAAGAGAGAGCATTTTATATCGTTATAAGTTGAAGTTTAGCAGAGATAATTTGCCCATGTGACAACATAAACTGTTTTTAGACTAAACGGCATAGCACCTTCACTTTCCATTAAAAACAGAAATGTCGCAAGTACTTGCATACATAAAGTGATCAAAATTGTAAACAAAAATGCCCTACTTACATTTGATCGACATTGCAGTGTCTGGCAGACCCTAATATCATAGTCTACATAGATGGAGGCTTGATCTGGCAGACCGGTCACTTTCACCTTAACGGCAGGAACTGTCACGTTTTCAGCTACTTCGAACTCAAACTGCGTCTGAGCTGTCTTTTCTGGTCCCAGGTCTCGGTAGAGATTCCATTTCTCGGAGATATAGTTAATTTCACTAAAATAGAAATAGTGTCCCATTTTGACAGGCAATTGCTTTATACAGATTATCAGTACAAAAAAAAGCAAATATGGATTTAAATCAACATATAAACAATATTGATTTATAGGCAAATAATTTGCATTTGAAAGGAAAATCATATCGTAATTAATATTTTGTTATACTAGGATAGGAACTTGACGTCAAAATACGTCACATATTTTTAATATTTTATATATATATATATATATCAATATATAAATCTTTAAGAACCAACCCAAGTAAAATTTGTTTTTGACAGTTTAATTTTCAGTTCATTTGATTATCTAATTTATTCTTTATTCTATCATAAAATACTAAGATCGATATACAGTTTTAACTTCTACTTACCCGGCTTCAATTAATGTGAACATTTTAACGTTAGAGTTCTGGTTGTACACCACAAGCTTGTTAAGATGTAGATTTAGATAAGCTGAAATAAAATAGAAATATATAAAAATGTTACCTTGACTGCACATAATTGATAATTGATGAAGACCAGGAAAGAAGTGTAGAGTAGGATTTAGGCTTTAATCAAATATAATAAAGAACACGAAATATGTTTCAAAACGATAACAGCCCAGAATACTAAAAGAATGAGCGGAAAGTTTAAAAAGAATAATAAATTGAGAACAAATCGTGGCGAATAGTTTAAGTTTAACAGAAAGTATTCAGAATGAGGTTGTCTTAAACAGTATGTGCATTAACATCCAAAATGTTATCATACGCACAGTTGTTGACTTATGGTAAACAATGAAACACGAACTTTTTATAAGCACTAATGGTGACGCAAAGCTTTCTGATAAATATTAATGATGATGTACACACACTTTTGATACACACTAATGATGACATACACACTAATGATGGCATACACTAATGATGATACACACTTATGATGGCATTCACTACTGATACACACTAATGATGGCATACACACTAATGATGACATACACTAATGAAACACACTAATGATGACACACACTTCTGATACACACTAATGATGACATAGACACTACTGATACACACTAATGATGACACACACACTAATGACGGCATACACTAAGGAAACACACTAATGATGACACACACTTCTGATACACACTAATGATGACATAGACACTACTGATACACACTAATGATGACACACACACTAATGATGGCATACACTAATGAAACACACTAATGATGACACACACTTCTGATACACACTAATGATGGCATACACTACTGATACACACTAATGATGGCATACATACTAATGATACACACTAATGATGGCATACACACTTCTGATACACACTAATGATGACATACACTTCTGATACACTCTTATGATAACACACACACTTTTTATACACTTATTATGATATAAACACTACTGATACATACTAATGATGACACAAACTACTGATACACACTAATGATGTCATACACACTAATGATGACACAAACTACTGATATGCACTAATTATGATATACACACTTCTGTTACACACTTATAATGACACACACACTTTATATACACTTATTATGACATACACACTACTGATACATGCTAATGATGATACACACTACTGATACATACTTATTAATAGAATCGTTCACCCCCTTGGGGGTGAGATAGGAGAATCTCAACCAGAGGGGGAGGATTCTTAAGTTGCCAAACACGAGGCTTTGCCGAGTGTTTGGCAACTAAAGAATCTTTCCCCGAGGGTTGAGATGCTACTATCTCATCCACAAGGGGGTGAATGATTCTTTTTCTCTTACCCTGTTCTTTCATTGTGTATCATTTGCACAATGTAATGATAACTCTACATGCTAAATTCAGGGTTGACGTGAGGTTGATGGATTGTTGACGTGACGTCATTGTATTGTTAAAGTGACGTCATGCCATTGTTAGGAATAGGGGAATCCCCCCTTCTCAACCATAGGGTGAGACAAGGAAATCTCACACCGGTGAAAATGCGGATACACCTGTCCAGGGTAAGAGAATATGATATACAAACTTCTGATATACTCTTATGATGACACATACACTTCATATACACTTATAATGATATACACACTACTGATACATACTTATTATGATATACACACTAATTATGATATACACACTTCTGATACACACTTATGATGACACACACACTTCATATACACTTATTATGATATACACACTAATGATGACACAAACTTCTGATACGCATTAATTATGATATACACACTACTGATACACACTAATTATGATAAACACACTTCTGATACACACTTATGATGACACACACACTTCATACACACTTATTATGATATACACACTATTGATACATACTAATGATGATACACACTACTGATAAACACTAATGATGACACACACACTTCTGATACACACTAATGATGACACACACACTTCATATACACTTATTATGATATACACACTACTGATACACACTAATGATGATACACACTACTGATACACACTTATGATGATATACACACTTCTAATACACACTAATGATGACACACACACATCTGATACACACTAATGATGGCATACACACTAATGATATACATTAATGATGACAAACACACTACTGCTCCACAGTTAAGATGACACACACTAATGATACACACTAATGATGTCATACACACTAACGATACACACTAATGATGACAAACACACTAATGATACACACTAATGATGACACACACCCTTCTGATACACACTAATGATGGCATACACTTATGATACACACTAATGATGACACACACACTTCTGATACATACAGTTGTGTGACCGCACAACGCACCAAATATAACGTGCGCACATCGTGCATACATCGTTCACACACCGACCGCACATCGTCCACAAATGGTTCGCACATCTTTGCGATTTAACAATCGTTCACGCCGTTGTGCGCTTCTCTCCGCACAACTGTGCGATTTGGTATCATTTGTAGATCAAAATTACGGAATTACAAAAATACGGAAGGCTCGATGCGATAATGTTCACTGTGTATATATCTGTAATTTCTCATCACAATAATAAAGATTATACAATTTCACAATGCGTGTTACACAGTATTACAGCGATCGTTAGGCTGTCAAACATGGGTTCGGCTCCAAGGTAACAGAACAGGTAAATAACAATTTGATGAGTGTCCGGAGTTTTACCTGACCAGTGCCTGACACACAGAGCTGATATGCGATACCGTATGGCCGTAATGAACAGTATTTGTTATTTGCATTCGTTTGCCTATAGTTCCACTTCACCTGAATTTTCACACACCCGTCCTTACCCGACGAGCTACGTAAGTGCCACAGGAGGGGGAGGGGGGGGGGGGAAACTACGGTCCAGGTACATGTACAAAGTGGTTATGTTTACCTGTATACGGGATTGTGTTGTAATTGTGCATGTGTCGGTTAAGTTTGTTTAAAAACATCGAAAACACAATTTCTAAATATAAAAATATATTGACAGAAAGATAAGTTTATAAATGTAGCTAGAATATAGAAACATACGTAAAAATCAAGTATATATGTTTAAACACGAAACCGTATAAATTGTTAAGGCATTCCTCAATTTACACCAACCACGATTGTTATCGCTCAACGTTCGTCCATCGTGCGCACATCGTGTAACGTTGTGCGATCCCACAACTGTACTAATGACGACACACACACACACTTCTGATACACACTAATGATGACATCCACACTTCTTGTATACACTTATGATGATTTACACACTTCTGATACACACTTATGATAACATACACGTTCTGATACACACTAATGATGACATACACACTAATGCTACACACTTATGATAACATACACGTTCTGATACACACTAATGATGACACACATACCTACTTATAATATCAAACTGTAATGTTGTACATACTAATGTTTACGTGTTTCATTTTCATAAAACAAAACATTCGTGTGGTAGTGATTTGACTTCGTGTTTTTCTTTGCACCGTATGAATTAGTTTCAAGTGTGTACATACTTGAGTTAGGCCTGAGGAAGAAAACTATGTCGAATGGCTGGTATTTTGCGATGTTGTCGACCAACGTTCCATTAACGTCTGTAAACGCGAACAAAATGTCCGAGGATTCAGCGGTGACATCCCTCTGTGATGGTGTGCCTCTGCAAACCGAAGAATTCAACTTAATTATTTAAATTATTGAAATACAGATTAAAAAAGTCTTTGGAAAAAATATAACCAAATTTGAATGAATTGTATAAGCGTATACAAGACAGTATTTTTTTCCTTGGATCTGGGATGTTTTTCCTTATCCTCACCAAAACTTCTATTATACATTCTAACACGATTCGTTTGCAACGCGTGTTTTGATTGGATACGGACCATGTTCTACTCTGCGATAGAATCATGATCAATCGTGTTAAGCTTCTCTCATCACGCTTAAGCCACGCTCCGTTTCTAACCAAAACAATATGGCGTCAAGCTCGCCTCTTAGCGAAATCCCGCTGATAAGGCAAGTAGGCAAAAGAACAGAAACGACCGATGAATTGTATTTGTTGAATGAATTAAAAAGTAAAAAGTACACATTCCTTGTTCTTACCTCCAGTTATTACTGAAACGTTCGTTCCATCTGTGTGAAGGTATCTTTTTAGATCCGAAATCAAATGAAACATTTCACATGTGTCGTATGCATTTACACAAACTCTTCACAAATCTATACAAATAATCACAGATTTTGTCGATAAACAAAGATTGGTATGCATACTGACATGGAAATGTAAGAATTTTGTCAATATTAATCCAAATGTGTCGTGTACACTTTGGTAACAGGACGTTCACGAACAATCCAAATATTCCGCCTCGTTAACATACAGATCGAGCGCTCGCCAGTATGGGCGGGGCCAAATGACCGACTTTTGAAAGCTTCTTTCCGATTGGTCAGTCCGCTGCAGATTGACACGTCGCCAGTTCAGGTCACAAAGTATTTTACTACGTACTTTTGTACAAGAAAATACAATGTTTCCAAACATATTAGCATAGTATATATGTGTTAAGGTGTGTTACAATTGGCATAGTACGTTGTTTTTCGTGTTTATACTGGCGATTAGAACATTAATGCCGTAAAGTGGTCAGATGATGTAAACATGGAGATATCATGTAACCATAGTTTCACTTTTAACAAGATTTAACGTGAAGAAAATGGTCAACTGAAAAGGATAGCATTTGACATAGAGCATAGTGATATTACAATTATAGGCGCTTCATCATGATGATAATAATAATAATCAGGCTCTACAAAGGAAAGCAAAAATTGACTGGATTGACTTCAAAACATTTTGGCACATCGGAGTTCCTGAAATACGCTATGTATGTTGTAAAGCGGAAAAGATGGCACGCTCTATTGATAAAATTGCATTGCATTTGGTCTGAAAAATGGTGATGAAAAGGGACTTCAAAGTAAAATGAGTTAAGTTCAAATAAATGACAACGAAAAGAGCAAAAATGAAGGTCAAATTACGGTTAAGCTGAAACCCCACGTCATTAAAATCTCGCTTAGTATACGCTTAATAGAATTGCCAGATACATTATCAGATTATCTGATTACCTACGCCAAATTGGCATGCAAGCAAGCAATTATTTTAACGATAACATTTCATTTCATTATTTAAATTTGCAAAATAAACTCCCAAATCTGTTATTTACATAGGGATTGAACTCTTTTTTTTAAATCTCTATACCGGCATGAAAATTTAAAAAACGCGTTCAATCCATATATTTTCATTTTTACTGAGGAACAATTGTTTAATTTTAGTTGGGTTTTTTTGTTCTTAAATGATATATCTTTTAACTGCGTTTTGTGTATGCGTCGTCCTTTAAAAGACATTGGCGGACCAGCCCTATTTAGGTAAAATTGGCGCCAATAATGAACCGTTGTCATTTGAGCGCATGACGCAGGGGTATTCTCCATGTTATCCGAAGCGATACGACAAGACTGTCATTGAACAAGGTTAATCTATGACGTCATAAGTAAGCAACGTGTTACGTCACGAGAGTTTTTGCTCTAATGAAATACATTTCTGCTGATAATGTTCATAATATGAGTTGCAGCGTAAATGTGAAAATATATGCATGTATACACTTACACAGAGGTATAGTGCATTCAAGCGTTATAGCCCAATCCTTAGGTTTATTTATATATGTATGTATACACTTACACAGAGGTATAGGTACATTCAAATGTCACAGCCCAATCCTTAGGCGTATAGAGTTCAATATCCTCAGCTACATAGCCATCAATAGCATAAGTCGTCATGTCACCCTGAAACGAATTTTTAAAAACTTCACCATTTAAGATCAAACAATGAAATTAATGACGATTTAACATACCATAATATTAACTAGATGTAATGCATGCTAAACACAAATTAGGACTTTTAATATTGTGACAATTCATGTATGTTTACATTGCAATGTGGTAACTATTTAGTTTTACTTGTAGATTGTAGTCGGATCAATTCATGTCACATCTTACTTTGCCATTATATAGCTACGTGATACACATGTGTGTTTTACAGTGTAGAGTGTTAAGTAAAATGTATGCATTAGATGTAAATAAATTAATGATGTTAGGTGACTTATCGTATCGCATGTTAACGATGATGGATGATGATGATGATAATAATGATGACGATCACTTACTTGTCTAGATTCAGTGATAACGTTCATGCATGGAACACTCCGTGTTGTAGTAAGATTGACTTCGAGCATATAAATTGCATGTCCGTAGCTTTCAGAAACTCTTCGGAATTCACAAGCCTCGTTCGCTGCAGCAAAGATTCTAACAGCCTGGTCCTTTGGAATAGCAAACCCAACCTGCATGCTATCCATTCCACAGTTCACAGGCGCTGAAAACAAGACAGATTCATGTGGACTGTATTGTATTATAAATATTGTATCTATAACTGGTATTGTTAACTGGTTTATATAGTTGAATCAATACCTTAAGTGCAAGTGTATACGTATTACATCTTTTGTAAGTATCATAGACTTTAAGATTCTACAAATGAGAGGGGCTGAAAACAACAAAGCAACAGATAGACTTTATTGTATTATGGATGTTTTATCCATATTTGGTATTGTTAATTGGTTTATATAGCTTGAAAAGTTTTTAATGTGCAAGTGTTAAAGTATCAAGTATCATAGACTTTAAGGTAGCAGTATAAATACATATAAAATATACAGTATGCAATATAAACTAATTCAGCACAAAGTAGAACTTAATTTTAATGAGATATAATCAGTTATTAAAAATAAATAGAAATAAACGTCAATCAAATTTACATTTTCTAAATCCTTTTGATAAAAGATAGATTTTTTAAGGTGCCAAAAATCCGCCAGCGCAGAAATAATTTCTTATTTCCAAATTAAAGCGATCACTTATGAAAAATGTTCCCTTCAATCAAACTGTGTTATTGCTCTTGTACCTAATTTCTTCCTTTTTCAAGATCACTTATATTGAGGGTTGCTTTAATCTAAAATATGCTAACTCATTTCATTTAAATTGAATATGGCACTTGAAATAAAATGAGTATGCGCTTTATGCATAAGGAACTTTTACCGATTTTACCGATTTCATTCATTCACTATAAATAGCCATTAGCAAATACCTGATAACGAAACCTTCGTTGAAGTCTTTAAATAGTAATACATACATATTTATATAGTTATCATTTATTTTTCTTATAATCTTTGAATGATTAAGAAACAAAAACAGAACGCAAAAAAAAAAAAAAAAAAAAAGTCTAAGCATTTTTTCGCGATAATAATTAGGATTCACCAAATCAATATATATATATGTGAGAGTAAGAAGGAAATATATTCATCCGAATACGTTTCTGGGTTTTATACATATGTAGCTTTGTTACAGACTATGATATAAGCTATAAATGTATGTCAAAATCTTTAAAAAAGAAAAATTGTGATTATTTGTCAAAACGTTGATCAATTCGTAAACTAAGAACATAGTCATAACCGCTGGCAACTATGTGCAATACAAAAGAGTTCACATATAAAATACAATAAAAAACAAATAAGCAAATGGTTTCAGGCAAATATGATTTTATGGTATATCAAGATTTGTTCAAGTCATTCAGCAGGTGATATTTTTTGTGTTATTATATACATATCGTTTTATCTTTCACTTGCATTTAGAACAGAGACGGTACCAATATCAAGCAAAAGATATTAAAAAGCTTGACACGTCATTCATCAATGGGACCCAGTAAAGAGCCCCCGCTACACGATTCGCAGCTTTGATTGACATGGCAGGATCATGACGACTGGGGAAATGTCACATACGACACAACATTATGCAGCAAAACGAGTTTATAAACATCTTCAATATTTGTAACATTGGTGTTATGATATACACCATTTAATATAGCGCCCTAACTAGCTAACATTAGCCACTCTAAATTGCCTTACAATACACATATATACAGTTAATACACAATCAGCATATACATTAATCAATACAATATTTTTAGGAATTCGCAGGAGCTGCCTTATCAGGTGCTATAACTACTAGTCATATATGCCACCTGGCTAATATCTCCCTATGTGTGTATGCCTGCGTGTGTGCTGGAGATGCAACGTGTTCTGTTTGTAGTGAGACCGTGCTTCCAACGGCATCATTTATAGTGCTACTTCACTTGAATGCTACAGCACTTAATAGCCATGTGTAAGTTTAATCAAACCTCTTGGATGTTGCAAAAATTTTGGGATTTCAGAAAAGAAATGATTTAGCTCTACAAATGGTACAGTCATTTCTTCAGATATTCCAGCTAGGCTATTGTAAACCGTGAGAAGTGACAAAATAGCATACTGGAAGACTTTCAACTTAAAACTCTTGTCATAAACTAACCACTTCACATACTAAAACTTACTCGTTTCAAATTGACAGATGTCCCCGAAGTAGTCTGGATGACAGTAACATTTATTATTGTCGTGACAGACGCCTCCGTTTTTGCACAAGTTGGTGTGACACAAGTTACCTGCAAGTACAGAAAGACGAACATTTAGTTGAAAATTAGATAAAAAACAGTACGGAATTTGTAGAAGAATTTTATGTGATGCATAACTTGATATTCAACACAAAATTTATATTTCTGTATGATCATAAGTCTTCCTAAGTAATGCCATGACATTGTTTTGTACAATATATCCATGAACTGATTAATTGGTTATTGATGATTATTTATTTATTGAATTTGGAAGTGAATTACAGGTGAATGGACAAAACAGTAGTAAACGACAAATAATGAGAGAGAAGAGAATCACTTTAAAGTAATACACTGTTGTTACCAAACTCACTTGTAGCTAATCCACAGTCGTAGCCATAGTGACCAGTTCCACATTCACACATGTTACCAGTTGGAACCCTGTTGTTCTGGCAGTAACAACCGCTTCGTTTGCACAGTCTTCCTTCCGCTAGAGTAATGAAGAGAAACGTTACTGAATATATACTTTTCATGCTTAACTTCTAATAATATTTGTTTCTTTTGGTTACCAAGTTCTTGCCTTTCTACTCAGCTGTAAATTAGAACGTGGTTGGGCAGTGTTAGAATTGTTGGATGCTAGCTGTGAGCGCCGAAATGGCAGCACCAGCTGTATGCTCCCCAGGGAGTTGAGAAAGATGTTGGATGGTTGTAAAGGCCCTTTATCCACGGATAGTTATTTGTGAACCGCTTTGAGACGACCTACGAACTAGGTTGTGATGAAGCAGTATATTAGGCCCTCGAATTATTATTAATTATTATTAGTTTTATTTATTACTTTCCTTTTTTAATATAGTATAATAGGTACATTCCACATATATATTCTTCTTACCTTGAATAAATAAATACAGCAACAGAACCGCTACTGGCCACTTCATCATCATCATTTAAGACGGGACAACCCAGTTGGAAGAAATAACTGTATTGGAACACAAAAAGGACATTTAAATCACATGCTCCTACACAAGACCCATTGATAACATTTTTAGCGTGTCGAAGGTACTCTAAAAAGATGAAAACTTACTAAGAGCTTATAAATGAACGTATCTTTATTTTAAATGACCAATACTCCAATAATCTATGAAGACATAAAACGAGAAAAAGTAAAAAAAATTAATGATTAGAAAAATAAATATATACAAAAATAAATTGAATATTTTCAAATGTAAAACATTTTCATATCATGGTTTAAAGAAGTTATCTAATCTAATTTTCTACCCTGAGATAAATTTAGATGAATTAGTATTACTTGATATGACCTATATTGTGATATCATAATAAATGTATTGAAATGTCGTCATATATGTATATATGCGATTATTACTATGACAAATAAAGCAGGAAACTAACAAAAATAAAACAACCATAACAACAACAAAAATCAAAATAGAAACAAAAAAGTAAAATAAGAAGACATCAATCGCCAATAAATGCAAAATAAAAATTAAAAAAAAAAAATGAAAATATATAAAATAAATATTTTCAAATCGAAAAAAAATATAATGTATTACAGTTTTATGAAGTTATTAAGTCAATATACCTCCTTGGGATATAATTTGGATGAAAATTACTACTTGATATGACCTATATTGTGATATCATCAAATTACTTTATATATATGGGATTATTACTATGACACCAAAACGGAAAGAGATAGACTTTCGGTCAAGGTGTAGGAATTTAAGAATGTAAAGTTGACATTTTAAAACGTTCTACCTCAATAATCACAAAAAGAAAAAGAAAAGTATTGATTTGCTCACACATATGATCGTAAGATTTTTCCCATTCGAAATGAAAGTTTTGGAACTTGTCGCAAATCTTTCTTTGTATATTTCTGGGACTTGTTTTATTAATCTCATGAAAAAAGGAATATTATTTGTAATCGTAAATACCGTACCTAAGTTAGAATATTACAGTGTATTTGAATTACAACTCTGCAACCTTGAAAGAACGTTACCTATTCTAGACATACATTTCTCAATTTTATCCAAAACATGTTTGACAGATAAGCGGCTTCAAGGCGCTATGCTAGGGGGTAAGTTTGTCTAGTTCTTACATCGTGTACAAGTGTTGTCACTGGTAGAACAAGAAAATTATTAAGTAAAATTAAAACAAGATAAAACACATATGTTTTTACAAACAAAAATAACACTAGCAAAATGCAAGTAAGTATTATCAAAATCTTTTTAATAAAAACTAAATATTTAAACAGAATGTACTCACCTTAACTTAGAATGTTGTTCTAGTCCCTCTTACAGTATCACACTATCTCCAGGTACATAATTGCGTATGACAGACGTCACTCGTGCGGAGCGTTTGCTAGGTGAGCGCAGGTATGGAGATGTTATTTATAGCTATCACTGACTTACCTGTACAGTAAACTGTGATTAGGGCTTGTGTAATGCGTAAAAATAATTATCTCAGTCTAAGACACAATAGTTTTAGTTTGAGTTTGTCATTGGGAAATATTAAAACAGGTATCATATTGTACTTGCATTTAAACAGTTATACAAATGCTGTCTAATGCCGTTTTAATTAACAAAACTCTAATTTAACTATAAATATGTTTATGCTATATAAACAAGCATACTGTTAAACAGCTTGTATGAACAATATGGAAAACGTTAGTTAATAGGAATGCATTACAAACTAGGTAAATCGTTTGCCGTTTCTTTTTGTTGAAGATATGCTTATAACTATTCTATGAGCCATAACAATAAGATCCACACCACATGGATTACATTATGTACATCATATGCATGTACGTACTGTATCATTGAATAAAACTGTTTCATTTAACGTTTGTAAATCGTAAGATAACGGCGACTGCTCTTTAAAAAAATTAAGGCGACTCCACGTGGGCTTCATTGATGTCAAAATCAAGTGCTTAAATTGAAGTTTAATATAATTTTGTTACTCTAAAATTAGGTCAATTTTTATATGGGTCATATTTCATCAGATGAAAAATGGGAAAAAATGGAGAGCTTACTTGAACAGAGAACAAAACAACGTTCAGAATTTAGCAATATATATTTATCTATAAAGCATATGAATTGCATATGAAATTCATATTTGTGAATATGAAAAACAATTCCATATTACAAATATTGTGATTGTGCTTATCATAAAAAAAGTACTGTCTTTTACTATTAACGCTTACCGTGTATGCTACAGAAAGTACCTGATTTAACTTAATGAGCCGTGCTTTGTTTCTTTTTAGATCGATTGTTTATTCAGATATTTTTCTGATCAGATTCTATTTTGGATATTGTCTATGTTTTTTTTAATAATTCTTTTTACTCAATACTGCGCCTACAATTTTAGAATATTGACCCAAAACACCTCGAATTGTGCACACTCATTGTAGTGAATTAAATGCAAACATTTATATTTCTATCATAATTTATCATTCTGTGTCTGATTAATCACAGAATTAGTTAACTTTTTACTCACTTTTCCATTTACTCGGTTGTTTTCATTTCTTAATTGAAAGAAAAGATATTTCCGAAACTGACCATCAGAGATTATGTTATTCAACAATTAACGTTTTCAGGATAAAGACAAACTTGATATTGGTATGATTGGAGTCTGAATGCGGTAATGAGCGCACCTTTCAAGTTATTGATTGTTCTGTTTGGAATGCGTTCTGGCTTTTCATTCCACTGTCACTAAAAGAATATGTTCAAGTCTTAATAGTAAACAGATTAAGAAATATTCCATCCTAGTTATTTGTCCTAGATATTTGCTGATGAATCATACGATGCTTACCCATCCGGAACACCTGGTCATATTCTCCTTGAATTTTTTCAAGGGTCTCTATGTAAATCTTACTTTAGTTCATATTTCCCACTAGAGTCATCGTTATTGAGTTAGAATTCTTGTTTCATTGACACATTGGTACTCTCTTGTTGTTATTTATTCTCCTTGAACCTTTGCAAGGGTCTCTATGTAAATCTTACTTTTGTTCATATTTCCCCCTAGAGTCATCGTTATTGAGTTAGAATTCTTGTTTCATTGACACATTGGTACTCTCTTGTTGTTATTTATTCTCCTTGAACCTTTGCAAGGGTCTCTATGCAAATCTTACTTTTGTTCATATTTCCCACTAGAGTCATCGTTATTGAGTTAGAATTCTGGTTTTATTGACACATTGGTACTCTCTTGTTGTTATTTATTATCTTGAAAAAAAAATCTGTTACGGAGTGGCACTGTCTAGTATATGAATATTTAACTAATCATTGATTTTTAACCAACAAGTATTCTTATTTTTTCAAACTTTATAATCAAGAACTCTTACGTGCTTTCCCTTCTGTTTCAACGGTTGATTATACCAGTTTTGGGATTATATCGTCATTGTCCTTAGCGTCACTGATGAGTCTTATTAGGACGAAATAGTTTTATGATGTAGTATTAATCATTTTTGGCATATTGTATCTATTACTAAATCGCGTAGGTGTTGTCACGTGTGTGGTCACGAGCACGGTCCTTACTTTCATATTTCGAGTAGGAATCATGTGACATAAATTCATCTTCGTTCGACAAAAAAATAATAACTAAAATCAAAGAACTAAATAAATAAACAAGTTGATGTGGTGTTTATTGTTCGATATTATATTCACATATCACAGCTGTCGACCTCGTCACGTAGTGCGTCACTACTACACTGAGAAAGACGGAAATATGCAAATAAGAAAATATAATTAATGTTTTCACTATATATTTACACTTATACTCTCATCACGGCTGTGCTAATTAGCCTTTTCCTGTGTCTATGAAATGCGGTATCATAGACATTTATGCAAATACGAGACAGCGTATATCGTGTCCTACAGTTAATAAGTATTGTTCGTTATATTACAATGTAACTTTGTCCTGCGTGACAAGTAGGCCGATCATACCATCTGTTCTGTCTTAATTGTATACTATATATTTTTTTGTTCGGTGTGAAACACTGTAAAAAGGGTAACTCCTGGTTGTGTTCACGATGTGTTCCTTTAAACTGTTTGCGGTGTCGACATTTCCGCGTTGACTTTGCACGACTGGATCGCAATTCCACAACAACCTGAAAACACAACAACGACCAACACATACATAGCACAAGCACACACAAAGAATAAATATGGCGATAGGAAAAGTACAAAATGTAAAATATCTTTTATCGAAAACTCTTTGACAGAAACCCTTGGCGCTAACATTTAATGACCAACAGATACTTATATGCATACAAGCGTGTTATATGGAGCCTAAACTCATGTACAGTAAACGTGGAAGGTTGGTTTGTATTAAGATAAATAATGTTAACGAGAGTGAAAGTAAGCTGACGACTTACAAATATTCAGTTACAATGTCGATAACACCCTGAGATGTACATTTGTATTTTCAGTTCAGTTATTTATTTGTTAAAGTTTTACCGTTTATCGCAATTACAGATAAGCGGATAAAGACACTCACACTAACTCGCACACACCAACATCATCATCATCATCATCATCATCACCATCACCCACTCTTTTTTTTTGATACGCACATGTAACGTATAATGTCAATTTATTCTATCGGAGGAGTATGTAAGAAACAACTCAATTCCATTCTACATATCAGGAATATGACAATTATAAAGAGTTTTCTCCTCTCTGAACTGTATACTCCAGTATCACCAATGCTATCATGTGTTACTTGATCTGCATGTAAAATGCATTGCCTGTCCTAAACTGGTAAGATTGTTACATGAAGTACAGCATATATCTGTTACACCCGATCTGTATATACTTTTAGGAGAGGTCTGTCTCACCTAAATATAACATGCATATTAGTTGCAACGTTAAGTCTTTTCAAACTAAACAGAATACTGCAAATGTGTATTTTTGCGGGGTTTTACGTTTCGATATTTTAACGTAATCTGATTTTTAAGCGAAAAATGCAAACCACGAAATTAGCAACAGTCGTATCCCTCCTTAAGTTTGTACACTGTGTCTTTGCAACAATGATCGGTAATGACCTAAATATAACATGCATATTAGTTGCAACGTTAAGTCTTTTCAAACTAAACAGAATACTGCAAATGTGTATTTTTGCGGGGTTTTACGTTTCGATATTTTAACGTAATCTGATTTTTAAGCGAAAAATGCAAACCACGAAATTAGCAACAGTCGTATCCCTCCTTAAGTTTGTACACTGTGTCTTTGCAACAATGATCGGTAATGACTATCCGCGAAAATAAGGACCACGAAAAACTGAAATATTAGTTACTATGTAAGTCTATCCTGTTTGAGGTAAAGATCAATTTCGTTATTGTCTGACCTATCATAGATTTTATTCTATTTGTAACAATGTTATTCAATTCGATATAAACTTTAATGACAATTTCAGACTATCCCAGCTGAATAGTATATAAGTTACAACGTAAGTCTTATCTTAGACAAATATCAAGAATCATGCTAGACTGTCAGATCTGACGAACATGTCTCATCCTAACAGTTGACTGATGTGTACAACATAATTAATTCTAAAGGAAGTGTTAAAAGGCATATACGTTCCTTTATATTAAAATGTATCGCTCAATACAATAACCGCATTACATAATACCTCATCAATCTATTCCTAAACTATCAAAATCGTATACCAACCCTTTATTATAAGTGTATTATTAAATATGTGAATTGAAATCAAAGAACATGTCAATGAATGTGCACTGAAAAACATCACCTACTCAATCCCGGTCTTGGTGACTCAGTACACGGAAATTGATAATGACTGACAAGAAAATATACAGATTACTGTGTATCACTCTATTTGCGAGGGGGTTGAATTTTCGCATTAATTTGCATTGACTTTTTCGCAAAATGAAATGTGTTGTGAATATTATTTACAGCGATACTAACTTGTATCTGAATGAGCCTCCTCGTAATCCCGCATTTACGTCACTTCAGTGGTTTTGTATCAAAAACGATTGCAGCGTCAGCTAAAGGGACGCCACTCAACGACAACTCACCGCCATCACAACACAAACATCAATAAAACATCAAATCAACGATTGATTTCAATATGAATGTCAATTGAAAACATTTTAATGTTTAAGTTTAAACTTTAACATGTCCGTGTGATGATATGTCAACAACCCGATATCGAGACGTAACTGGGACTACGTATGTCATGAACCTAAATTAGATGCTTCACGTTTGTTTTCTTTGTTTGTTTTATATGTTTGTTTTATATGTTTGATTTATATGTTTGTTTTGGGTTTAACATACTCGCAATAGCAACGGTTATAGCAGTGCCTAGGGAGACATCGCCTGAAACAGAATGAAGACAGAAATAAGAATAAAGAAAAGAAAGGAAACGAAACAGAT